TACTCAGTGACCACTAAGGTCATTTCAAAGGTTCTATAATTTCAGGAATGCATGTGGAAGGCAGCTTCAACGGAAATGGTCAGGTTATGTACCTATTTTGGGAAATGAGTTGTTGGCTTTTCTTTTATAAGTCCCAGGGGTGTTTGCCTTTGTGCAGTAATGACAGTAAAATGGAGAAAATGAGATGATGCCTGGTCTCCAAGGGCATTGCCCCTTGGTGAGTAGATGCCCAGCGCCAGAATAGGGGTCTAGAGGAAAGACCCTAAGCTCAGCACCAGTTCCCTCTAAGTCATGCTCAAGTGGAGACATCTCACACTCCTGGGTGTGGCTGACCCCACGGCAACTAAACAATACCATGCACATAATATGTAACAAATATTTTTGTAATGATTGTCCAAATAAACCAAAACACTCAGAGGGATGGCCTCAAGAAGAGTCTAGGACCAGAGATGAACAGGAAACCGAAAAGCTAGGATGAGAGCAATCACTGCCTGGGCTCAGGCTGCCCACCCAGACCTCCCCATCACCATGGAGCACAGCCCAGGAGAGCTGTGGGTAAGCCTGGGCACCTTGAAGCTCTGGACAAAGTGGTATCAGGCAAGAGCCATGTAGCGTCGTGAACCATGGTGGGAGTCGGTCCTCGGGTAGGGCATGGGCCGTCAGATGGGCTCTCCCTCGCCTTGCTGTACTGTGGCTCTGCCCAGAGAGACCCAGCTTCCTCCATCCAGGCCAGAGCTGAGGGGCGGATGTGTCTCTGCAGGAACAGCCTCTGCCCAGGGCACTGCCTTCTCAGCATGATTATGTGGGATGCTGAGGGACATTGGACTACTTCCTCCACACACTAACCATTCATTGAAGAAACACAGGTTGAGCACCAATGGTATGCCAAGCCCTGTGCCAGAGGCTGATGCTTCTGAGCTGAAAGATGTGTTACGTGCCCTCGTGGCATTGACAGTCTATTGGGGTCACAGTCAAGCAAACCAGCAAAGTAATGCAAAATGATAAATTCTATGTTACAGGTAACTGCAGGCCACTATCAGGTTAAAAGGAAGAGCATCTAATGATTTCCAGGAAAGTTAGAGCAGACTCCTTGAGTCCATGATGGCTGCACTACCTTAAAGTCATTCATTCATTCAACAACATTTATTGGGCACCTGTATGTGCCAGGACTGGTGCTAAATTCCAGGAATATACAAAAAACCCAGAATCCAAAGAGAGTCATTACTCAGGCAAAAAATGGAAGGAAAGCATTCTAGACAAAGGGGACAGGATGTGCAAAGATATGGAAATAAGGAAATAAGGAGTCACCTTCTCTGCTCCCCAAGAAAATCACTGGGCTCCGTGAGCTCTGGAACTGAGACCCCCATTCCTCCAGATGCCAACCATGTCTGAAATACTCACCCTAACTTTTTGCTCTCCTGAATGTTGTTCTTTAGCTTCCCCTCCCCTTTTTGGCATTGAATTTTGACTAAGTCAACATTTCTAGAAAAGAGCAAAGAAGACACTTCCTGGTTCTTAGAAGGTACTAGAATATGAAACCCTAGAATAATGGAAAGGACGTGGGAGTGTTAGTCGCTCCTCTTAGCCACTCTTCTTTACTAATAGAATGCCCAACTTTGCACTGGATACGTGCTTCCTCAGAAAAAAGCCCATAATTACCTGCCTCCTTTGCAGCTAGGTATAACACATGATTAATTTCTGACTAAAAAGTTGGAAATGTCATGGGCAGATTCTGGGACTTGTCCTTAAATGGAAGGAATGAATCTTTCATTACTACTTCTCCCTTTCTGCTGCCTGGGATGAGAACACATTGACTGGAGTCTGAGCAGCCATCCTGAGCCATCAGGAGGAATCTGCAGGCTGAGGGTGGGAGAGCAGCTAATTAAGAGGAGTCTGCTCTCAGGGGTTTCATGAAGTCTCTTGACCTCCTGACTCTTTTTTTTTTTTTTTTTTGAATTCATAATAGTTTCCACCATTGTGAAATTTCATTTGTATGTTATTACTTGTCCATCACCATGCAAGTGCTCTCCCTCACCCCCCATGCCCACCCTCCAGCCCCCTTCCCCTGGTAACCACTGAACTGTTCTCTTAGTCCATGTGTTTGTTTATCTTCCACATAGGAGTGAAATCATATGGTGTTTGTCTTTCTCAGTCTGGCTTATCTCATTTACCATAATACCCTCCACGTCCATCCATGTTGTTGCAAATGGGACGATTTTGTCTTTTATTATGGCTGAGTAGTATTCCATTGTGTATATGTTTCACATCTTCTTTATCCACTTATTACTCAATGGGCACTTGGGTTGCTTCCATGTCTTGGTCTTGGCTATTGTGAATAGTGCTGCAATGAATATAGAGGTAAATATATTACTTTGGATTGTTGATTACAAGTTCTTTGGCTAGATACCCAGTAGTGGGGTAACTGGGTGATATGGTAGTTCTATTTTTAAATTTTTGAGGAATCTCCATACTGTTTTCCACAGTGGCTACACCAGTTTGCATTCCCACCAGCAGTGTATGAGGGTTCCCTTTTCTCCACATCCTCTCCAACATTTGTTATCTTTAGTCTTAGTGATTATAGCCATTTTGACATGCATAAGGTGGTATCTTAGTGTAGTTTTGATTTGCATTTCCATGGTGATCAGTGATGTTGAACATCTTTTCATGTGTTGATTGGCCATCTGTATATCTTCTTTGGAAAAATGTCTGCTCAGATCCTCTGCCCATTTTTTGATCAGTCTGTTTGTTTTTTGGTTGTTCAATTGTGTGAGTTCTTTATATTATGGAGATTAACCCCTTGTCAGATATATTATTTGCAAAGATTTTCTCCCAATTGGTGGGTTGTCTTTTTGTTTCGATCCTGGTTTCCTTTGCCTTGCAGAAGCTCTGTAGTCTGATGAAGCCCCTCTTGTTTATTTTTTCTTTTGTTTCCCTTGTCTGAGAAGACATGGTATTTGAAAAGATCCTTTTAAGTTCGATGCCTCTAACTCTTTTTATGAACGAGAAGAAAACTTCTATCTTCCTTCAGCCTTGTTGTTTAGAGTTTTCTGTCGCCCTGCAGTGAACCTGATCCTCAGAGCTGTATTGAGCAGAGTTCAAATCCCAAATCTGTTCTTTCATAGCTGAGGGGCTTCAGGAAACTTACTCAGATTCTCTAAACCTCTGTCTTTTCAGCTACGAAAGAGGAATAAGAATGCCTTCTGAACGAGGCTATTCTGATGTTCTGGAGACTGATGAAATAAAATATATAAAGATCCTAAGACAGTGTGGCCACATAGTCTAAAATCAATAACTTCTGATAAATAAGCAAAGAAAGAAATAGCTCCTTAGCGATGTCCTGGATACAATTTAGCTTAGTACAAACAGCTGGAAATAATCTGATGTCTGTCCACATCCCCAAGTCTTTCACACGCATGCCCCTGGATGTGCGTAACAGGCATCTTGCTGGCTCTTGCCTCTGTGCTTCTGCAAATGCTGTTCCCTCCGCCTGGAAGTCCTCGCCTTTCTTTCCTTTCCTTTGTGGAGCAATTCTCTTCTGCCCTCAAAACTCAGCCCAAGGTTCACCTCCTCCAGGAGAACATCCTGACTCCCCTGGTCTGGTTTAGATGCTCCCATAGCACCCATGCTTAATTCTAGGGCTGCTCTGATGTCTCCAAGGGCAGAGACCACGTCTTGACTGACTTCTCATGTCACAGCAGCCAAGACAAAGCCTTAGTAAATATTTGCTAATATTGCCCTAGTAAATATGTATTGAATGAATGAGTGAGTGAGTGAGTGAATGAATGAGAGGATAAGAGAACGAGTAGATGACTGACTAGGCAGGCAGGCATCTAAAAATATAGGCCGTTAGACTGCTTTGGTTAAAAAGGTCTGGGATATTGGTAAAACACCTAATAACTTATCCACTTAAATCTCCTCTCTCTACTCAATAGAAGTTCTTTGTTTAATATTATGCAAATGGGGAGATTTTTTTTTTAAATTGCTGCTATTTAATGATGACTTCCCAATAGCAGATGAAACTCTAAACACATCTAAGCATCCGCAGTAGCCCCGCAAATGGAGGGCTTTGTAACTTAAGGGCAGTTGGAGAGCGCACCTGTCTACGGTTTGACAGTGGAGGGTTTTTGTTTGAACTCCAGGAACAAGATCACACAGCTTTACCTTGAATAAGTGTTTTCTGTAATTTAAGATGTCATAATGAAACCATAGCAAGTGGAGCGTAAGCAGTCTCTCCTTTTATACTATGTAGTTTATCTTCCGAATACAACCTTTTTGTCGCTGTGTCTGGATGTTGCGTCCCTCTAAAATTTGTATGTTGAAATCCTCAGGCCTGATATGTTGGGATTAGGAGACGGGCCCTTTGGGACGGCTTAGGTCATGAGGGTGGAGCCCTCAAGAATAGGATTCTTGCTCTTATAAAAGAGACCTTAGAGAGCTCCCTGGTCCCTTCTGCCCTGTGAGGACACAACGCAAAGTCTGCAGCCTGGAAGAGAGCCCTCACGACCATGCTGACCCCCTGATCTCAGACTTCCAGCCTCTAGAACTGCGAAAATTGAATGTTTCCTGTTTGTATGCCACCCGGTGTATTTTGTTATAGCACCTGAATGGACTAAGACATTCATTAAGATTTCATGTTCTAACCTAACAACTGGGCTAACCAAGATGGCAGAGGGAATGTTTAAAATATTTCATTCCAGCAGACTGGGGGTAGGAGGAGGGCCCAGACTCTGGAAACAGCCCCTATAGAAAGAATCAGGGATCTAACAAGAGCCTTCTTCTCCCTTTCAAAAAAAGTCTCTAAATATTTTGTTGGTCTAGTGTAATAAGTAATTAAAAATATTTTCCCATATAAACTGTTCAGTAAATCAGATGGGTCTTAGCAGAAATTATACTTTAAGCCTGAGAGTGGTCTTACAGAGAGACCATCAAGCTGAATTGGATCCTATGGTTAAAGTTCTAACTGTGGTTTCAATAAGCCAACATTTACAAAACCCATTTACTTTGTTCTGTGACCTCATACTCTGCTTTATCACGTCTTTGAACGTCTCCACATCCAGCAGCTGTCTTCCTCTCTTTCCATCTCCTAGGAGGGAAAAGGAATAATTAGCTATGAACATAGCTGCATTTTTTTACTCTAGGAGCAACAGTCCAAAGAACTGGATGCCTAATGAGACTCATCTGAACTCTGTCAACTTCTAACATGTTATCCCTTCTGTTCTTTTCTCTGATTCAGTTACATTAAGAAGTAAGAATTAAAGAGAACTTATTCTTCATCACTATTTTATAGGAATTAAAAAGATTGCACTTTTCACTGAAAAATCAACTATCAAAAAGAGAATCAAATTTACCCAGATGAATCTTTAGAAAGCTCACCGGGCCAGCTCCTGCCTGAAAGAGCACATTTAAGTTCTGTAGCTCTTCCAGGGTCCCTTGATGTTCGATCTCATCCAAACAAAAAGAAAACAGATTAAAAACATATAATGCTAATAGTAATGCCCCCAAAATGCAATTTCTGGAAATCCATAATTTCTCTCTTTCCGAGGCCAATGAGATAGGTGAGCATCCAAGTAATACGTAATATTCCAACACCCATTTCCCCTAGTCTCTACTCAAATTCAACTGACTCCTCAGCCCCAACTTCTGGGGTAGGGTTGGCTTGACTGGGCTGGAAGGAAGGAAGAGTTGGCGAGGCAGTGGGAGGAGGGGAGAGGCTAGGCATTGACTTGGCAAACAAAAGATCAGGAACTAGACTGAAATGAGAAAAGGGAGGCTGAAAATATTTTGCCACATCACATTCCAAAGACTTTCTCTTCCCTGTCAGGGGTCCTGTGCATTAGAACTGCTTTCTGCTGCATCCTTTGCTCCCCATTCCATCTCACCCCCGGCTGAACCAGGAGGAAGTCTTGGGGGAGCTTATCTGTGACCTCTTTTTCTGGGGTAAATTTTCTGATGCTATGGTCAGAGCTCTTGGTACTCTTGGTGTTAGGGAAACTGGTTATCTTTTAGTCACCTGTCCTTAGTCCAATAAACAGATCACCAAAGGACACCTCCTTCTCACTTCCATTGTCTTAGCTACTATCTCAACAATTTGGCTTTATAAATGAAAATCCCTAATAACATTCTGGCTTAGAATGAATGAACAAACTGCCTCCAGTGGGTAGAATCAAGTTAAGCTCTGATGTTCTTACATCATCTCTTGAGGACTGAAGAAGATAGCAAAGGAGGAAACTGGCTATTTCCCCAATAGAATCGTCTCTTGAAATTTACGACCAGCCTCCAAGCTTCCAAGGTGGTGGGCTTACCACAAAACTCAGACTGACACTAAGCTGCTGGGACAGCCACAATTTCACGAAATCAAAGTAGCTTTCAAATTCTGTCTTGAATAATCCCATGATTACTTTTTAATTTGCTCTCATCAAGGAACAGAATTGGAAACCTAGCTGTAGAGTGGGAAAACACTCCACCTGAAGTTTCTACTTGGAATTTCCCTGTTGGGCTCTTCTGGCAAGACCTGAACCCAGGAGGTAATACTAAAAAGCCGGCTGAGGGGAAGATCTCAACACTATTCAAATACGTGTCAAAGATGATTCTGTCACACTGAGGGGTCACCCCCCCCTTCCCCAACAAAAGACATTAGCACTGAACAAACTCAGCATTTTCTTGAACCAAACCTTCTCTAGCTTCCAAAAAAGCAGACGAGAGTTTACCGGGCTCAGACCAGGCTCATGCACAACACATATCAGAAAAATGTGCATGAATTTGAGGCCTAACAAGAAGACAGTACCTCTAAGAGCATGTGACTTTTCAGCCTATGCTTCAGATGTGAATTCTGGGGGGTGAAACAATTTTTTTAAGGATTTGAAAATTATTTCTCTAAAGATTGGAAAATTATGAGGAAGACATGCTATTATCTCAATTTTTTACATTGTATTTTTCTGACCCTTTAAAATTCTAAACATACTATACCATATAAATTCTTTCTGAGTCATAAGTTACATAAGACATTTATAGTCCTAAACTAACAGAGTGACTCTAGATTTGCACAAAGCAATCAAATCATATTGCATATATGTTATCCTTACTGCAAACTTCTATCTTTCCACTGCCCCTGAGTATCTTTTTCTCCCAGCTCCAAAATTTCCTGAAATTTTATACTGTGATAATTATTTGTCCACCAACTATCTTATTTTGTGGAATTGACCTTTCACCTTTCTCTACGTCCATTACTGAAAAGGAACAAACGACCCCCAAAAATTGCCCTACCTCCCAGAAGGGGGCTCCCCAGCCTAGAAAAAGAGTAACTCATCTCTCCTTAAATTTGCTAGAAATGCTGCTGAGAGAGTGGAGTGAGAGCTATCATTAATAATAGTAATAGGCGCCAGCTCAGTGGTGTAGTGGTTAAGTTCACATGGTCCACTACGGCAGCCCAGGCTTTACCGCTTCCGATGCCAGGCACGGACCTATGCAACACTCATCCAGCCATGCTGTGGCGGCATCCCACATATAAAATAGAGGAAGGCTGGCACAGACGTTAGCTCAGGGACAATCTTCCTCAAGCAAAAAGAGGAAGATTGGCAAGAGATGTTAGCTCAGGGACAATATTCCTCACCAAAAAATAAATAAATAAAAGTAATGAAGGGCATGAAACTAAAGCCAGTGTGATTATATAACTTATAAAAGGTATTACAGTAATTTTCATTTAAGGCTAAAATATGACTAAAAGCCTCACTTTCTCCTTTTACAACTTCTTCTCCCCAGAGCCATTCTTCCATCCCCAACAAATATCCTGCCCCATCCTGCCTCTTACAGACACTCACGACATGCCCATGGCCTGAGGTATCATCCAGGGTCTGCTGTTTATTATCCTGGTCATTCTCTACCATCATTGCCTCTTGGCTACAAATACACAGGTTTCCTGCCTCCGCCTTCTTCCACTGTCCACAAAAATATGAAAATGGATGAAAGGTAGCTATCGAGATTTTTCAAGCTTGCAGAATAGAACTATGTTAACTAAATTTCCATTACGCTTAAGAACTCAGTTCTTAAATCTCACAGATCTCATCAAATTTTCATATGTCCTGACAGAAAGCGAAAATCCAATGATCATTAGGCAACTTCTCTTGAAAGAGCAGCAATATAAATACGTTTTGGAGAAACACGGCTACAAAACAGAGCCATTATTGTGCTTTCCTTGAAAATATAAATCAGACCTTCATATAATTGCGTGTTTTTAAGGCAAATTTGGAACACAAAGCAGAGAAAACATATGTCCCTTCTGGGGGCTCCTGTGCTCTGCAGGGCTTGAAAACCCGTAACTGCTATCGACAGCAAGTCACACTGTGTCACTAAAAAGCCTGAATGACTTGTTTTCCTACAAATAAAAACACAGAGAAAAGCCTATTTTATTTCCAAACTAGCAGAGCTATAGGGACAACCATAAATAACTCAGTCCGCAATTGTGGAGTCTGTTTTTAAAGATATTATCTGCTGCCCAGCAATGCATTTTGCTTTATTCAAATGCAATTTCATAGAAAACTGCCTGGATAATTCTCTAATATCCCACATTTCAGAGGATTCGTGGAGCTGTGGTTCTGTTTGTCCTTACATTGCAGTCTCCCCGAAGCAAGTGGTTTTTATGATTAGAGAGCTTTTCCCATAAGGGTTCATTTGCCTGCTGGTTGCTCATTTGCAATGCAAATGAGCTCTCCTATTGTTATAACCCAACATATCTTTGCTTCTCACTGTAAGAGTCTCCTCAGTCGGGATGGTTTAAGGGTAATTTCACATCTACGACAAGGGAATTGACTAATTAATTGAATAAAGTATCCTTTTGAAAATCTGTTCCTAGAGTGGCTGTCTCTATAGCTTCAGAAAACGGACAGATATGATCCTGCAGTCTTAAGATTCTAAAAAAGAAAGGAACTTCAGAAGGTGTGGGGTGTTCTCGAGGTTGAAATTTAGGGCATCCCATGGCAGAGCGCCCTGGTGAAGAGGGAAAGGGGGAGGCGACAGGGAGTTCGCCAAGGAACTAGACTGTGAAAGCCCTGGTGTGAAGGAAGGGCATCACATCACCAAGGGAAGAAGGGCGAAAAAAAGGCCTGGGTGATTTTGTTGGGAACTGTTAAGCCCATAATGAGCTAAAGCTTTTAAAAAGATGGTCTTTTTAGCCGTGTTAGGAGAAATAAGATGGAAAAAGTGGCATCAATTTTATAATAATTCACACAGCCTTAGGCAGCACAGCCACTAACATCTAACCTTTGCTGGGCTTACTATGAGCCAGCTGCTGAGTACTCTCCCTGCATTTTTCCATTAATCTTCGCAACAATTCAGTAAGGGAGATGCTATTATGGTCTCCATTTTGCAGATCAGGAAACTGAGGCACAGAGAGGCCAATTAACTTGCCCAGCTTCCCACAACTAGTAAGTGCTGGCACCAGGTGATCTGTACTGCTCACCAGGTCGCTCACAGCCCAGCTCCACTTTCTGCTGCCCAGCCTCTGCTGGGTTCCGGGTCATCTCCCAAGAAAACACACACAGATGAGTATAGGGTGGGGGGGGTGGGGGGGTTTGTGGACTTTAAGACCTCTAATGTCCACTTATTACTCATGTCTCTTCTCCTCCTAAGGATCTAAAAGTCAGAGTGGATTGTTTCAACCGTAAAGGTGAACCTCAAATTCCCCTTTACTTGGAGGTATTCCTACATTGTATCTTTTAAATGGTTAAAAGTAATGGTGACAGCTGGAGTCGAATCCTCTCCCTATCTCTAGAGAGTATCAAAGACTTCCCTCCGTGGGGATGTTATGCAGCCTATGGAAGCTTTGAAGACGATCCAAACTTGTTGCAAGGAGCAGCCCAAGGATTTCCTAGCTTGCTTCTCTGAATCAATCTAAAATGAACATATTGCTACTTTTCCAGCTGCTTGGGTAGATTCCATGACCTCCTAGTAGTTTAAAAGAAAGAGAAATGCTCCTCCAGCCTTACCAAATAAATATGGCAAAGTTGAGATTGCATGTGTACACTGATCTACTGTAGTGGTCAGGTACCACAGTGAGAAGGATCCTGAGGCAACAGTCACTCTTGGCAGGGAAACACCAGGATGGATCGGCTCTCTGCCACGAGCACTGGAGGGAGCGGTGAGAACATACACAACATATCTATACCATGAACAGGGCAATGGGGAAAGAGAAGCGCTGAGCTGGAAGGGATCTTAGAACCCACATAGTCATCCCCCTTCCTTTATAGTGGGGAAACTGAGGCCCAGAGAAGGTAAGTAACTTGCCTAAGGTCACATAACTGATTAGTGTCAAGACTGGAAGCTTGGTTTCTTTCTAATTAAAGATGGGATTAACTCTTCTCATTCCTAGAACAAGCCGATGGGAACTTCCCCTCTGAACCGAGTACAGAGTTGGAAGGACAGGGAGGTTCTGAGTTGTTATCAGCGCCCTCCTGCCGTTCCCTCACACCCTCTCTCTTAACTGCCCTCCAGCCAGCCCTGCCTTCCAGGAGGTGCCAGGTCCCTACGCACATGTCCTGTATCCCCCTCCTAGTCTGTCTTCTGAGGGCAGCTCCTTGCTTACCACCTTTTCTACCTGTTAGCCTGCAAAGGGAAAAAAGGCTCTCCCTATACCCTTTGGAGTTCGAGGCACCAGACGTCGAGAACCAAGATCAGAGAAGGAAAGGCCAACAGTCCAGGGGTAGGATCAATCAAAGCAAATCCAACCTTATTGCTCATTGTTGCGGGAAACTGTAACACTGGTCCGCATTCTTTGCCAAGTAACTCACAATGCCTTCCCATCTCATCTCTGCACTTGGCTGGGTGACTTCCATTTGGTCAATGGAAAATTAGAAAATGTGACACAAACAGGCTTATAAAGTGTTTGCACAATTGGGCATGTCCTCTGGCTCATGTTATCAACATGAGAACACAACTGGGCTACTCTGCTAGAAGATGAGAGATACATGGAGCAAGACAAATTGCCCCAGTCATCCCAGCCAAGTTCACCTTAAATCCGCTGATAGTCTGGTTTCTGGATATATGAGCTAGCCAGCTACAATTAACTGAGCTGTCTAGCTGACTCCATGTGCACATGAGAAACCAATGCTTACTGTTGGATGAGGTTTTGTGGTTGTTTGTTATGCAGTGTCACTGTGGCAATAGGTAACTGATACCCTGTCTATTCACTCATATATTGGTTAGGGTTTTACCACAGGCACATACACCTGAAACATCAGCCCTTCCAATGATATGTAGTGTAAATCATGACTTTCAAACTTCTCTTTTATATCACAATCCTCAGTGAGAATCTGTTAAGCCATATATATATATACATATATGCTATGTATGCCAGGACCTGCAGGTTGAAAATCACAGCACACTGTTCCTCAAGACACTCGTGTTTGCAAATGGGTCTTGTTCATCTTTGTGCTCTTGATACCCTTCTCAGCAATGGGCACAAAGAGGCACTCAACAAATGGGGGTTGAATTCATGTGAATTGAGAGAAGCGTACAGCTACAAAATTCATGGGTTTGCATCCTAATCCCTGACTCCTGGATCTCATCTTCTCTCTCAAGACTTTGGAGACAAGACAATTACTGCATCCTTCAGGGAGTACTTTTCCTCTTAGCCCTGTTCTGGGCCTTAGAACCCTCCCTTTCATTTCTGGTCTCAATGGAAACCATTTATGAGTCACTATTCACAGCTCTATCAAATTAAAGAATCTTTCCCAACACCATCCATCCTGGTGCTCTGACTGCCCACTCTCAGTGACAGACCAACCTGCAGAAGCGAGGCTCCCACCCTGAGTCTTCAGATGGACCGTGTGACACTGGGAAGATGGAGGGCAGGTACCACATCGTATGCCAGGCATGACGTCTGGCACACAGCAGGTGCTCAAAACATACTGGTTCAGTTGAACTTAAGTTACTTCATCCCTCTGGGTCTCAGTTTCTTTATCACTAAGGGAAGGAAATTTGACCAGGTTTTTTCCAGCTTTAAAAACCTGATTCTAAGTAGCGCCAACCAAATCTGAGTGTATGCATGGGTGGAAAAAGCAACTCCCTACACGCTGTGCTCCAACCACAAGAAGGGCCCCACTGCCCTGACAGATGCTCTGCTCACTGACTAGTGCCAGAGGGGCCAGCTAGAACTTCCTCCTTCTTACGAAGCTGCTCAGCCTTGCTGAAGTACAAAAATTTCTGCAAGGGTAAATTTAAGCTAGCATCAGTCTTTTACACCCTACCAAGAAAGAAACTTCTAGATCTTTCCCTGAAAGTAGGCCTTCAGAGAGGGAGGAGTGTTATATGAAGAAGCTGACCTAGGGTGATGAGGGAACAAGTTCAGAGCCCTCAGAGATGAAACAAACCTGGAGACAGTGATGATAAACTTGAACCAGTTCACAAGGGGCTGCCGCCTACGGTCTTCTCTGGGCTCTTTCCCATGGTTGTCACTAAAGAAGTTAGTGGTAGAACCGAAAAAGTCTTCATCTCCTCTATCCAAAGCCAGTGTTCTACTCTGTGAGCAACACTGGCTTTTGTAGTTTCTAACACCAATTAAAAATAGCTGCTGTGTGCCTGTTTTCCCATAGCTAATTGAAACATGTGCCACGGAGGCCATCCGTTTCACTTTGAAGTGGCACCATCCCACATCCTCCTACGTAGCCTTGATTCTGCCCCATCCCACACAGGTCACGCCAGGAGCTTCAGATCCTGTCGCTATTCTGAGATGGCAATGAGGAGCCTCAGGCCTCGGAGACACTCTGCCAAACACAGCCCAGTCAACATGGCCTGGGTAACTGCAGTCTCCAAACTGGCTAACCCAATTAGCAAAGGACCAAACCCAGGCTGGCCACAGTCAGTTACAGACTCACCCTCAACCCGGAAATACCCCACACGGCTCTGTCATCCTCTGTCAATCACTGAAACGTCCTCACTTAATCCCAGAAGAGCGAAAGAGGAGTGGAAGAGGAAAGAGAAAGTCGGAGTAGAACCCGCAGGGTGACCTCTCTACGTGCTGACTTGAGAGGGGACCAGAAATAGGAGTTGCACGGTGGCTGAAAGTCCCATCGCATGGGGGCCACTGGTTTTAGATCTCTTTAGACTTCAACCCATTTTACATCATGACTCAGTACACACCTAGAAAACTAAGGTTTCATGATATGCCACTTGTACTTATTCTGGAAGATTCACTCTGATATTAACTATTGTCTGTCATTATTTTAGATGCCAGTCATATCCTGGAAAACCAATTTTCTGACTCATTAATTGATCTCACCCACAGCATGAAGATCCCTGCCTCAGGAAATCTCCTTTTGATACATTATCTGCACAGGTCACCACAGCAAAAAGAGCAAAACCCAGTTCTTAACTCCTCGTGATCCATTTCCAGCCTCACTGTCCAGCATTCGCCCCATTTCTGCTCCTGCGGCCCTGTTTACTTCAAACACTTGCGTGCCTTGGAGTGTGCTGTTTCCTCCATGTGGGGTAGGTCAACTTCACACAACCGTGGAAAAACTCCTAGCCATCCCTGAAGGCCCATCTCATATGCCACTTCCTCCATGAAGCCTTCCTTGCTCCCTACACCAGAAGTAATCTCCCTTTCCGTCTTCTTATTAGGAGTGCAAGTCTTTTGGATATATATATCTCTCTCTTACTGAGTTCCTGTTTCCTAAAAACTAGCCACGAGTCCATCATCTGCACAGATCTTTGTCATTTCTGTGTTATACACTTAATATTTTTTCTTTCAATAGATTTGCTTATTTTACACACTACCTATGTCAGCATCATTCTAAACAATAGTAGTCATGAAATCACGGGTGTGATGTGCTTGTTAGATTCCTAGTGCACCTTAACATGAATATACCATTATTAAAATTTTAAAAATCTCATCCTGGTACCATCTAAAACATTTCCTTTGAGGAAAAACTATGCTGGCCGTGTAAAGTCTTGAGGAGCTATATTTTGTTTAAGTTTGAGTTTTCTCTAAGGCCCAGTACATGATTCTGCTCCATAAACGTTTGCCGATTTGAAATCAAATGAAATGGATTAACTGTAATTTATTCATACCCTTAACATATTATCATGAGTCTGATTTATCCAAAGACGCAACTGTGAACCTGGAAAGCAAATCATGAGACCACAAAGGAGTTGGACATAAGAAAGAAAAATGTCGACAGACGTGGAGAGGAGAGAGAGGAAGATAGAAGGGGAGCCGGTCCCAGTGGCTTTGGAGGATGCTCTGGGAGGTGTGTGCATGGCGGCAGGGGTAGTCAAGGAGCAGTGGACACGCAGATGGGACTTAGGTGGGAGAAGGCCACAGCACACCTAATATGGACCCTGGCTTTAAACTGGGTCGTTGGCCATGGCCCTAGGAGAGTCCAGCCCAGTCTCAGAGCCCTGCCTGAGAGACTGCATGGCCCATGCAGGCCCAGTCCCACTTGCTGCCACCTTACCTTTTCCATCCTCAGGCTCCGAGCTAGGTCCACGTGGTGGGGCGGCGTCCTTCCCTGTGCCAAGTCCTCCATTCCCATGGAGTGACTGCACATCCTCTGCCCCATGAGGCAGGCCCGCAGAAGTCAGGCCGGGAGGTCAGCTCTCCCCAGCTTCTGCTGGCCCGAAGGCCGAGGTCCAGCAGGGCAAGTCTGAGCTCGAAGCATTACCGGCTCCCCCAGGGTCACAGCTTCGTTCAGGATGCTGCCCAGACCCCACCCCGAGACACAGTCCCATTAGTGGTCTTGGTAAGGAGATGGATCCCGCCCCACCTCTTTAGCCCATGACCCCACATGCAATTCCCTTTTGAGCAGCCTAAGCTGCCTCCTTCTCAGAGGTAGCACCTCTGTAAGGACTTTGGAGGCAGGATCTCTGCTTTAATTGACCAAGATGGAAGACACCAAGCTGAGCCCTTCCCACTCTGCTTTAAGAAGTAAAGAATGAAAAAAAAAGAAAACAGACCCCCAATACAGCCCCAGAATCACTAGTTTCTTAAATATTTTCAGTTCTGATCGGACAATATAACAATAAGCAGTAAACTGTTAAGACAAAATCCTTGGAAGTTAAGGATTGTAATTTAATAAAACCTGAAACAAAGTGAATCTGTCATTACAATCTTTATTGTAGTGCATGGTAATTAGATGTAAATGACAAGTTGTTGAAACAATAACCCTAATTACTATTAATTTCACAACAGTGTTATGGGGGCTGCTCAGGAAAATCCCCAAAGGTGCCTGAGATGGCTGGTTTTTCCATGTGTTTCCATCTTAAGGAAACAAAGGCAATAACAGATTTTAGACTTTTTTCTGAAGTGCTGTGCCCTTTTGTATTTATACTCAGAGAGAGTTACACTTGTTAGTCCACTTAAACTTCCTTGATTTAAAGATCTTGCTTAGATCTTTTTGAAATATAGAGATTAGGGAGAAACTCATCTCTTTGGTTGCCAAATAAGGCAAAAAAAGTTTGTAATCTCATCTCATCTTGTTGGGCCCATAATCTGGGCTCTGGGAAAAGGAACAGAAAGATAGACCACTTGTCCCACTCAAAGGCTCAGCTGTAGGCTAGAGGGCAGACTGTGGGGCCTCATCAGGGGTCAGGATTATCGGGTGATTAAGAGCGCCCCTTCAGAGCATCCTGGGTGTTGCAAATGCTGCATTTAGGAATTCAGTCTACAGAGCCTGGAAACCCTTTGAAGAGTCTCTTATTCTTGCTGTATTGAAATTTTATTTCATGTGACCAAAAGAACAGAGAGTCTGTCCTGGAGGAAATGCCCCTCTAACAATGGCAGGCCCCACTCAACAAACAGCCAAACCAGGGTTTCTGGGGTAAGGTGAGGAGAGAGGAGGAGAGCTGGAGGGGAACTGAATGGAAGGGGATTTGGATGGGGGAGGGGAGAGGGGAGTAGGGCTGATTTTGGAGCGTGGGCATTTAAAGGGAGCGCTTTGTCAGCTGAAATGAGAGGGCCATGGGCCTCTGCAGGCAGACACTGAAGGGGAGAGAAGCATTGCAGACGCACAGTCTTTTTTCAAGGGTGGTGGCGTGTTGAGATGCAGCTATGTGCCTTCTAATATTTAATTGCCCCAACTGTGAAATGATCGTAATCACAGTGCCTACCTCACAGGGTAAAAAGTAAAGTAACTATTATACTGAATGTCAATTATTCAGAGCAGTGCAAGGCACACAGTAGGTGCTCCATGCTTGTTAGCTATTATTATTATTGTTATTATTATTACTAAGGCCAAGCCTGCCTCCTCCTGTCCTACAAGAGGCTGATCAAGTGCCCTTGGCGCTCTGCCCATGGCTGACAGGGTGAGGTATAAAAGACGTCCATCCACCTGAGGCCCGCAGAAAAGATGAGCTGGGCCAGTGTGAGTCTCTCTCAGCGTTCACACTGGGACATCTGAAAAGCGTTCAGGGAATGGTGGCTGGGCAGACAGAAGCAGACATGGGGAGTGCAGAGTTCTGTGAACAGTGGGGCCCCAGAGCAGAGACTGAGCTATGGCTACTAGGCTCCCAGCTGTCCTTTGACTCCAAAGCCACTCCCAACTCCAGCCTCGCTGAGGCCCAGCTCAGAGACAGCTTCCTACTCTAAGATTTCTGGGAGATTTCCTGTTATTCCACGCGTGTCCCCACCACAAAGCCCCTTGACTTGAGTCACCTTGAGGAGATTTCTGTTCCTTGTGATCCAAAATGCCAAGTCGAAGGAACGAATTGTCTCTGGTGGAGGGTCCATGCATGGTTATTATTTTCTTTTCTTTGCTTTTCTCTCTATTCTATATTTTCTATGATGAGCCTATGCAATCAACTTATAAGATTCTTTAATGAACACTTATTTTGTAACCAGAAAAAAATGCTTTTCAAATAAAAGAATTAGCCCACTCATTTGCAGCAAGCAGAAAGTTTATACAGGAAAGACCAATGAAGTTTAAGGCAGATTCGTGTTCAGTAGCTTTCTCATTACCTGGTCATTTGCCCTTCTTCCTAAAATGAGAAAGTGGGCTAAGGAATCTCTAGGTTCTGCTTTGGTTCTGAACACTATTGTCGTCCCACTTATCCAGCTTAGCAGAATCTGTACCCCCAAACCTGAAGCTCGTCTGAGGGGTGTGGCTCACTCCTGGGTCAGACTCAGTGTTCTGGAAGCAGTGACCCTTCAGAATGGGGGTGGGCCTGGTAGCATAGCATTACTGAAACTCTTTGTTCATTTCTTCATTTACTCTGTTCCTTCGATCAGCATTTATTAAGTGCATGACCTATACCAGACAACGTGCCAGGTGCCGGGACTATGAAGACAAAACCGAGGACAGACCGGTGAGCCAATAATTTTAACACTGCAGTAAGTGCCAAGTTGGAGGAGTCGTATAACAACACAGGGAGGAAGCACTTAACTCTGGCTCGAGAGGACAGGATGAGGAGCCGCTGCCCAAAGGAGAAGCCATTGAAACAATAAGTATTCGTTTTCCAGGTGGACTAGAGGGGCAGTGCCTTCCAGGAAGAGAAGGAGCAGGTGAAACAGGGCAGAGGCAAGAATGAGCTGGATGCTGGGTGTAGTCGTGGAGCTGCAAGCAGATGAGCATGGGGGGAACTTTGGTGCCAGCCAGGGAAAGGAAAGACATAAGCCCAAGAGATAAGTGGGGGTCAGATCCTGGAGGAAAGTGTATGTCATACTAAGGAGGTTGGGTTTCATCCTTAAGAAAATGAAAAACCACCTCAGCAAGACATCTTAGAAAGACCATTCTCTCTACAGCAAGAAGAGACCAAACGGGTCAGAGATTGTTTGTGGCAGATCAGCAGGGAACTGCAGAGGGCCTGAACCAAGACAGCAGTGGGGACAGAGAGACAGGCTGGATATATGAAGAACAGGCTTCCATGACTTTGGAGGCTGGTGGAGATGAAAGATGGCTCCAGGGTTCTGGATGACCTAAATGGGAGAGACTATTAGAAAAACGTCGGGAAAGAAAAAAGATGTGCCATTTAAGATCACACTGATTCAAAGCTTCTGTTGAGATACCCAGGTAGAGAGGTCCACCAGGCAGTTGGAAATAGAGGTCTGGAGCACAGGAGAGAGGTCTGGGAGACATCACTACAGAGGTGACTGTAGAGTGAGGAAATGCAGGGCAGGCTTGAGTAGAGAGTGTCTTGTTCTTACTCAGAAACGTGGGTGACACTTAAGTCCACGTGCACAAGGAATCAAGCATCTAAAGATGATGGTCAAGGTTAGTAATTCAGAGGACATTGTGCACACAGGTTAATCAAAAAGGATCAGAGCTTGGGGCAGATATTGGGAAATATGAAGCCAGAAGATTTAAGAAGAAGGGAAAGAAGAGCAAGAGGCAAACTCTGGAGCCAGAGACATCAGTGCTCCCTTCACATGAGGTTGGGAGCCAGGGAGGGGTCCCACTGTTCCTAAAGATCCAGGGCAGCCCTCACTGGCTGCAGGATCTCTCCTCTTGGCGGTCTTGCCGGCTCCTGGATCCCAACATGTTGAAAGCCGCTTCTACCTCATTTCCCTGGGAGTGACCCCACTGTTGAACCAGCTGCCCAGTCTCAGAGCCTGAGTCTCTTACTCTTTCTTTCTACTTTCTACTTCCCACCATCCTGGAAACAGAGGAACCATTTGACCAGCTGCCCAAACTCAGAAGTGTTGTCATTATTGTACTCTTTCTCTCCCTCCTTTATCCACCCAGTCACCTAGTCATTCAATCATCGTACTGGTATCTTGTTATCAGGACCCCCAACCTAGGTGTTTTCTAGGTCTCCTTGACTTTTGCCTCTCTCATCCCTGATCTTTCTTGAACCCAGATCTCCTTTCCTGAAGCTTCCTTTCCCACCATCCCTCTGCTTGGAGCCCGGGGGCTCCCCACTGCCCCAAGGTTTGCACATACCTGCCACTCTCTGGTTTTCTGACCTTGGGAAAATCATTTAACTTCTGGGACCTTACTTTTCTTGTCTGTAAGATGAGGAAGTTGGACCAGGTGACCTCCCGGGTGCTTTTTACAATTTCTCTGCTGCTCTTTAAAGACTCTCCTCACCTCACACCTGTTAGGATGTCTACTATTAGAAAGACAGGAGATAAGAATTGTCCGTGAGGGTCTGGCCTGGTGGCACAGCGGTTAAGTTCGCACGTTCCACTTCAGCAGCCTGGGGTTCACTGGTTTGGATCCCAGGTGCGGACATGGCACCGCTTGGCAAGCCATGCTGTGGTAGGTGTCCCACAGATAAAGTAGAGGAAGATGGGCACGGATGTTAGCTCAGGGCCAGTCTTCCTCAGCAAAAAGAGGAGGATTGGCAGCAGATGTTAGCTCAGGGCTAATGTTCCTCAAAAAAATAAATATATAAAATAAGAAATGTTGGTGAGGATAAAGAGAAAAGGGAGCACTTGTGCATGCCTGGTGGGAATGTAAATTGGTGCAGCCACTATGGAAAGCAGTATGAGATTCCTCAAGAAATTAAAAATAGAACTAGCAGATGATCCAGCAATCCCATTTCTGGGTGTATATCCAAAGGAAAAGAAATCATCATCTCAAAGAAATATCTGCACTCCCATTTTCATTGCAGCATTATTCACTGTAGCCAAGATATGGAAACAAAAGTGCCCATCGATGGATGAATGGGCAAAGAAAATGTGGCACGTGTGTACAATGGAATGTTATTCAGCCTTAAAAAAGAAGAAAATCCTTCCATTTTTGACAACATGGATGAACCTGAAAGGCATTATGCTAAGTGAACAAAGTCAGAGAAAGACAAATAGTGCATGGCTCACTGTCAGGTGGAATCTAAAAAGAAAAGGCAAACTCACAGAAACAGAGAATAGAGTGGTGGCTGCCAGGGGCTGAGGGATGGTGGAAATGGGAGAGGTTTGTAAACAGGTACAAACTTTCACTTATAAGGTGAGTAAGGTCTGAGGAGCTAATGTATAATATGGTGACTACAATTGATGACACAATATTGTATAACTGAAATTTGCTAAGAGAGTAGAACTTAAATGTACTCACCAAAAAAATGAAAAAGAAGTAGAGTCTCCTGACGGGTCCCCACTCCAACTCACACCAACCTCAGGCTTCCAGGTCTCCTCCACGGCCTAGGAGAAGTGCCAGTCTCACCTAAGACCTTCTGCCCATGTTGTTCCCACCTGAGGCACCTCCCCATTGCGGCAGGGGTGTAAACTGAGGTAGAAGCCTCGGTCACAAGTCAAAGCATGTGCTTTTCAGCGGTGGGCGTGGGATATGGCCTAGGTCTCTCTCTACCAGTCTGCTCTTCTTTGAATCTGACCAAGACTAGGGCCAGCGAGGGGGAAACAGGTCATGTGACGTTTTCATCAGAAATCACCTCATTCTTAATTAAATGTTTTTATGATTCTTGTGAAGATCATTGACTCTTTCACCAGGAACATTCCATAATTCAAAATTTGTATCCCTCCTACCCCCTCAAATCTGTGTGTTGAGCCTGAATCCCCAGTGTGACAGCATTTGGAGGTGGGGCCTTTGGGAGGTAATAAGGTCTTGAGGGTGGAGACTTCATGAATGGGATTAGTGCCCTTTTAAAGAGACATGAGAGGGCTGATCTCTCTTTCCACAATATAGAGATACAGGGAGAAGTTGGCTGCCTATAAATCAGGAAGAGAGCCCTCAGCAAGAACCCCACCATGCCGGCGCCCCATGCTTGGCCTTCTGGCCTCCAGGACGGTGAGAAATAAATATTTGTTATTCAAGCCACCCAGTCTGTGATACTTTGTTATAGCAGCCCAAGCTAAGACAGACTCCTTATATACTGAATTTAGGTTTATATTGACGTATTTAAATGGAACCATCATGGGTCGTTCCTGTGTGCCCCCGGCCTACCCCTTTTAATGGGATCTGTGTGCCCCTCACCCCCTCCCAGTGTTTGCATTTGCTCAGATCATCTTCTGCTTCCCCTTCACGCCTTCCTGTTTCTTGCTGTTGTTTTTCCAACCAACATACTTCAGCTCCCAACACCTGATTACCCCCTCTTTCGGGGAAGACTCGCTGGGTCCCCTTTTCCAGTTTACCAACCAGCCTACACCCTTGCCTCTTTCCTGAGCTGCTCTGACTGCCAGCGGCTGTGGGTTGAGCTTCTCGTCACCTGCTCTAGTCCACACAGCTCCTTCACAGCCTCCCGGCTCCATCCCCCAGCCTGCTTAACACAGACACAGACGGGATATTGCAGAAGTCCTGTGCAAACAGGAGTTTCAAGAAAGCTGAGCAGTTCAGACAAGAACTAAGCCAAACCGTCACAGGGGTGCATTTGTGTGGCGGCCAGATCAGAGCCAACACTAACACCCCCGGCTCCCTTGGATTCTGCCTGCAGAATGTGCTTACCAGGCTGGGAGACATCGGCCTGCTTCAGATCACGAGCTGGCATGCCCTGGTTGCCCATGGCAACCCAGCTGCACTGGAGTGTTAGCGTTTGTAAATGTGTGTGGGCTTAAAATTATATTATTGATTCTGTCTGGAAGACGATAGTCTGATTTGTATGTAGCTCTGAATAAATTACTCATTATCCTTTACAGCCATCAGAGTATGAATCTCTTCCTCTTTTTTTTTTTTTTTTTAAATTTTAGAGAGACAGCAAATTGTGTCAGCAGATGTGAAATGAAATGTTTCCTATAACAACCATACTAGAGGAATCAACACCCAGGGCATCACCCTGGGAAGAAGTCTAGGCGTTACTGAATAGATCACAAATGGCATGGATTTGGGAGGGATGGAGCCTATGTCGGTTAGTTGATTCCAAAGGGATCCTAAGGTGGAGCTTGAATTACAGTGAGAAGCAGACAGGAGCAGAGGGCGATGCAGCCCCACCCTGGGCTTGATCCATTCCAGCTGGGCCTAAGCTCTCTCTTCTGTTTTCTTTGATGTATAGTATACACTCGGGCAGTTTGAAGTGTTGTGCCAATTCATCACCTCTCCCTGTATGCACATTCCTTGCCCTGTAACTCTGTAGATCCTCCCACAAAAGGCATCACGTTCTGCCCCTGACTTTGGGCTTGGTCTTGTAGCTTGTTTGACTGATTGGCTGAAGCAGCAGTGTGCCAGTTCTGTGCCTAGGCCTTAAGAGGCATGAAGTGTTTCCACTTGCCCTCCTGTGCTTTTTGTCATCACCATGAGAAGAACTTTCCTTGGGCAGCTGCTGCCCCTTCAGCTGGGATCCAGAATGAATACAAGTGAAGGTGGGTTACCCGCATCAAACCCAGCCAGAGCGACGGTTGAAGAACTACCCCAGCAATGCCCGGCCTAGATAAGCCACATCAGCCAAGCTGCAGATGCATTGGAAATAAATGCTCATTGCTATATGCCACCAAAATTTTGTAGGTGCTTGTTATGCAGTGGTACCTGACTGATATCATCCTCCATCTTTCCAACATGGTGGCTAACAGTGTCATTGATGATGGAAAAGATAAGAACAACATCCTTCATCTCCCCATTTCAGTAGTCACTGATCACAAGCCTTATTGAGAGAAAATCCAGATCATGCGTTACAATTTCAATTTTCACTGGGCCCTCATTGTGCACTGTGCCATCAAATATGGCATCGCCACCAGGGGCGTTATGGGGGCCAATGCATCTGAGAGAAGCACCAAGTAAATTGTAAGATTCCATCTCCACCACTCCTTTAGTGCTCACGGAAGTCCTGTCAAAGGATTGGCGGGACTATGTTTGAATTAGGGAAGAAGAGTGACATTAGACCTCTCAGAAAGCGTTGTCAATGTTTCTTCATCCCAGAGAGAACACCTTTATCAGAGTGCTACACATTATTACCCTCAAACTCTTTCTAACCTCCACCTTTCCACTCTCCGTCAAGATATGCACCACACAAGCACAGCCGATCAATTTTCAACAAATATTTATTGAGCACTGACTATGGGCCAGGCCCTTGGAGTGGCATTATTTGATGCCGTGTTAAGCAAAAGAAAAGTGGTTGTGATGGGTAATCAGGGAAAGTGAGTCAAGACTGACTCCAAGCCATCTGTTCTGAAGAACTGGGCAGATGGAGGTGCCATTTACTAAGACGGGAAAGCCTGGGGAGGGACTGGTCGTGGGGAAAATAAAAAGTTGTATTTGGGACATACCATGTTTGAGATGCTTCTGAGACACGAAAGTAGAGCCGTCAAGTGGGCAGCTAGACGTCTGGACATGGAGCTCAGAAGAAAGAGGTCCGGGCTGAAGATATCAACTTGAAATGTTGCCAGCATGTAGATGGCATTTTAAAAGACAGGACTGGATGAGATTTCCTAAGCAGAGAGTACAGATAGAGAAGAGAAGAGGGCCCAGGCTGAGTGCTGAGGAATCCCAATATTTCAAGGACAGGTAGAAAAAGAGGAGTAAGCAAGGGGACTACAAAGGAGCAGCTGGGGAGGTAGGAGGAAAGCCAGAGTGTGCGCTTGTCCATCCATTTCTACCCAGCAGCCGTCTTCCCGCTGATAGAACTCTGCCTTTGCACAGGTGTGGGGAGGTCGTGCCTTTTGTGAGAGGGCTTCTCCCTAGTCACAGGGAGTGAATCGTGGGGTCTAAGACAATCAAGGTAACCCACCCTCCTTGCTCATTTGGGCTTAGTCAAGAGCATTTGATTTGGCCAATCAGATGTGAATGGAAGTTCACCAGGTGGCTTCTGGGAAAGGTTTTCAAGCTTTTAAAAAGTGAAGAAAAGGAGAAAACCGAGTTCCTCCCCTGCCTCAGACTCTCTGGATGAAGATGTTGCAACCATCTTGCAACCAGGACAAACGTGAGACCGAAAACCCAAACAACAAGGATAGGAAGAATATTTGTGTTAAATTACACCTTTGAATTGTTGAATTAACCAACTTTGGAGAACTCCCTACCAACAAATCTATGTTGTAAGGTAATCAGTTTTCTAAATGTTCAGGCATTGTGGGTCTTGTATGACTTGTAGCCCAAAGCATCCTGACACCTGTGGTTTCACAAGACAGAGAGCAAAGTGACTCACGCCCACGGGTAACGTGATTATGCCAAGGGCTTGAAGGTGACGCTTAGCCCATAACTCAATGATTTCTTTTACCTTATTTGGGGGAATAGCAATTACCCAATCTTTTGGGCGTATAGTTTGTCAATCTTAATACTAATCTAATATTATGCTTATAGCTTGTTACTTTCAGCAGTCAAAATACAAATTAAAGCATGTTTTGTCTTAACCATCTCAGAAGAAATGGATCACTTTTAATTATGACGTTTCACCAACACTTGGCCAGTAAGAAAGATGAGTTGAAAGACTGAGTTGGAAGTATTTTTGGGCTTATTTTCCTGCTAACATGAAAAAGAAGAGATTCATGATAGGGCAATGTGAGAAGAAAAAATAGATACCTAAAGGTCAGGACAACAAGAAAATTAAATAGAAACTTAAATATAAATAAAGTAACTTGAAGTCAAAATGTTTGAAATTACATTTAGTATCTTAATTAACCAGATTTTAAGATAACGACTATAGAGTAGGTATCTTCAAATGGTTTGGGACATCCTTCCAGCTCTTTGAATGTGTTCTTTTTATTCAATTAATGTTTCTGAAAGAGCTTTAATTTTACATTAATCAAAAGCCCTCATGATATTCTCGGGATTTACTCAAATTCAAGGTTTTTTAAAGCGCAATTAAGTTATCAAGGCAGAGGCTCTGATTACAGGGACAAAATTCCATAGCAACAGCCTGTTTAAACACTGAGCCCAACGTGCTGCTGCACATGACGCTCGTGCCAGGCCAGCGGGGCGGCGGTCAGGCTCCACAGTGAATGGGAGAAACTTCTCTTTACCTTCCTCCTCAGGAGCAAAACCTGCTTCCTTGACAATGTAAACAGTTACCTTATAATACCTATTTTTACAGCAAACAGCTCTCTGCCTGTACCCCAAGCAGAATTCTAGAAAATTCTATGAGATTAAAAAAAAAGAAAAGACTGAAGGTAACTCTTACCTGTTAACATGAGATGTTTCTACCTTCCCAAAGCAGAACCTGCTCTTCTTCTCCAGTTCGTGGAATCAGACAGCAAAACCTGCCAGGTACTCCTTTACCGATCACAGTTGTGTCCACCTGGGCCCCTAGAGCAAATCACTAACGATCAGAGAGATGCCAGGTGAAGAGAATCCTGCTGCTTTCATTCTAAGAGCAGCCAATGCTGACGAGCTCTACCCAGGGTGGTGGCTTGCCTGCCACTGTCTGTGCCAGCATTTGTAACTAGACTCCCAGGGTAGGTTCCGCGTCTCTCTGCTCCTCCCCAGGTACGTTAATCCCATCACATGTGAAGGTAATTAATGCTAGCAGGAAGTCAGGGGGTGGCGTGGGGAAGAAATGCCAGGGAGTGAACAAAGAGGAAAAGAACTCTGGCCTTGGAAGTGTCAGAGTGCAATTAGTGATCATCAAAGCTTATATTTGGGTGCTGTCCACTGTCCAAACTTGGTTACCCAGTCTCACTGCTCCTCCATCTTCCCTACCTCAGAGAGCAGCTCCATTTTTTCCAATTGCTTAAGGAAAAACCCTTGGAGTCACCTCCCTCCCCTCTTTCTTTCCCAAACACACATTCAGTCCACCAATAAATTCCATCAATTCTATCTTTGAATTATCTCCAGAATCCAACCACTCCTCACGTTCTCCAACAGTACCTCCTGGTCCCAGCCACTCATGGCTCTCCCCTGGACTTTGGCAATAACCTCCTGATTAGTCTATTAGTCTCTCTGTTTTAATTTCTGCCTCCCTACAATATAGTCTAGGTAGAGAGTGATCTTCTAAAAACAGAAGTTGGATAATGTCAATCCTCTGCTCATAACCCTGCCATGCTTCTCATCTCATTCAAAGTAAAATCCATAGCCTCAGAGGTTCCTATGACCCACCCTTCTATGTATCTGACCTCATTTCCTACCATTCTCCCCTCCACGCTCTGGGACCACGTTGATCTTCTCTTAGAACATACAGGGCTTCTGCCCTTGTTCCCTCTGCAAAGCCTTCCTCCAGATGTCCACCAGATCTCCCCTCCTCCCTCACTTCTGTCAGGAACGAGCTCAGTGCTGTCTTATAGAGGCCTTCCCCAACCACCCAGCCTAAGATAGCAACCCCTCTTGCCTCTCTATCCTCAGCCTGCTGTATTTTTCTCCACATTCCTGAATTCAACATTGTGTTATATATTTGCGTGGTATTTTATGTATGATGTACATATTTGTATGAGACGTAGATGTTTTTCTTCATACTACTATAACGTCATTATCTCACACATTTGTTTATTAGTTTTTATCAATTTTCTCCCTTCAGAACGTAAGCTCCATGGACGTAAATTTCTCTCTTTTCCTGCTGAATCTCCAGAGCCTAGAAATGTGCTGAGCGTGGTTGAGGAACAAATGAATGGCACTTCCCAGTTTGCCGATCGCTTCCAGATGGTTCATCCACTTAGTCTTTGGAATCACCCTCCTAAGTGTTGTGATCCTCATTTACACAGGAAGGATGAAGCCCAGATAGGATGCGACTCACCTGAGATTTCATAGTCAGCCCCTGATAGAGCCATTTCTGTTTGGAGATGTGCCAGCTCAGCGCTCTGTCCTTAAGTGTGGGGGCCATTGAACTTCACCACAACTGCGTCACCTGTGCCCTCTCCTGATGTTTTATAAAAAGCGTGCGATACTCTGACTGTAGGTACCATATGTGAGATATCATCGAGCATAGAACTCTGATAACAACTCCACATAAAGTGTACTGTGACGGACATCTACGTATTTTTGTTTTATTTATTTTACATTCATGTGAAGGTGTACAATTTTATATAAATGGGATTACATCATTTTGTAATCTACTTTTTTCACTTAGCAAGATGTCTAGACTGTGTTTCATTATCAATAAATATAGACCTAAATGTGTGCATGGTGTTCCATTCCGAATTTAACAGTCCCTTATCAATGGACATAAGGGTCATTGACATTTTCTGCAGTTTTATATAGTGCTTTGATATTTAAAAAAAACTGGGCATGTAACTTTTCCCAGTTGTGCAAAGATCTCCTTAGGGTAAATTAACAAAAGTGGAACTCTGAAACATATTGCTCAACTGACGTCATACTGGATTAGCTGGGCCCTCGTCCAATACGGCTAATGTCCTTAGGAGAAGAGGAATACTTGGACACAGATAGACACAGAAGGAAGATGACCACGTGAAGACACAAAGACACAGGGAGAATGCCATGTGACAAGGGAGGCAGAGCTTGAAGTAATGCATTACAAATTGAGGAACTCCTGGGGTTGCCAGAAGCTAGGAGAAGCATGGAAGGGTCGTCCCCTAGAGGCCTCGGAGGGAGCGTGGCCCTGCCAGTGCCTTGATTTCTGACTTGTAGCCTCTAGAACTGTGAGACAATACATTTCCGTGGTTTTAAGTCACCCAGTTTGTGTACTTTGATACAGCAGCCCTGGGACACTAGTACACGCCCTAAACATACGTGAGAGTGTCCTTTCCCACTCTCACCAACACCGTTTGGCTCATCTTGGCCAATATGGCAAACATTTGCCCAGTTTTCCATTGAGGTGTTTGTTAATTACTTATGGACTTAAAAGAACTATTTGAATATACTACTACTTAGTTATAAGTGACACTAATACTTGCTCAGTTGTCTCTCACGTTTATGGTAGGGGTTTTGGGGGTGGCCATTGTTTTGGCCACAGTGAAGGTGTAAATTTTTAGGTAGACGAATTTAGTCACCTCTTCATGTAACGATCTGGGTTTTGCAATACACTAAAAAAAATCTGGGTTTTGCAATACACTTAGAAAGGGCTTCCCTAGCTAGAGAATAAAAAAATTCTTTTAGTAGTTGGATGATTTCATTTTTTTAACATTTTACATTTATTTGTTTCATCCATCTGCAATTTATTTTCATTAAGGGAGTGACGTGCAGACACATCTTTATTTTTTTTCAAAGGTTGGTTTTTCAATGACATTTATTTGATGAGCCATTTTCTCCCGATGGTTTGGTACTGGCACCTTCACTTTACACCAAGTTCTATATATATTTGAGGCTTTTCCTAGAGCCTATTTTTGTTCCATTAATCTGTTCATTTTTTCCTGCTCTTGTAACACAGCTTAATATGGCAACTTAATAGCACATTTTAATATTTGTAAGAGAAATTTCCTCCTAATTATTCATCTTCTGTCTCAAAAATTTCCTGGTTATTCTTGATATTCTTTCCAAATGAGTTTTAGAATTTTTTGTCAAGTTACATACACACATACATATACACTCATGAAAAATAGTCGGAAATTCTATTGATATTAAATTTATAGGTCAATTTAGGAAAAAGTATTATTTTACAATATTGAATCTCCTATATAAGACTGCAATGCCTCTTCATTTATTCAAGACTTACCCTGTGTTCCTTAGTGTATTTTATGAGTTTTCCTCATATGAGTCCTGTGTATTTCTCTTTTTTGCTTTTTCTCCCCAAATCCCCCAAGTACACAGCTGTATATTTTAGTTGTGGGTCCTTGTAGGTGTGGCATGTGGGACGCTGCCTCAACATGGCCTGATGAGCGGTGCCATGTCCGCACCCAGGATCCGAACCGTCGAAACCCTGGGCCACCGAAGCGGAGTGCATGAACTTAACCACTTGGCCACGGGGCCAGCCCCTGTATATTTCTAATTAAACGTTATCCAGGGTATTTTATGGAGGTTTATAGTTACTATAAAAATTTTTTACAAATTAAACTAATAAAACAAAAATTAATAAAAATTAGTTAATAACTGATTACTGATTAATTACATAGGTCAATTAATTTTAAATGTTAATAATATTTCTATTTAAAAATATTTTATGATTTCTTTTTGAGATATAATTGTGTTGTAAAATTCACCCTTTTATTTTTTCCAGTTTTATTGAACTAAAAATTGACATATAACATTGTACAAGTTTAAGGTACACACCATAATGATCTGATATATGTGTATGTTCAAAATGATTAGCACAATTAGTTAACGTCTATCACCCTCACATAGTTACAAAATTTTTTCTTGTGATGAGAATGTTTAAGATCTACTCTCTTAGCAACTTTCAAATATACAATACTGCATTGTTAATTAGAGTCGTCACGCTGTACATTACATCCCCAGAACTTATTTATCTTATAATCGGAAGTTTGTATCTTTTGCCCACCTTCACCCATTCTTCCCCACCTCCCACCCTCTGTCTCTGGCAACCACCAATCTCTTCTGTTTCTAGGAGTTTGGTTTTTTTAGAGTCCACGTATAAATGAGATCGTCCAGTAATTATCCTTCTCTGCCTGACATTTCTCTTAGCATAATGCCCTCAAATTTCATCCATTTTTTCCACAAATGGCAGGATTTCCTTCTTTTTTATGGCTGAATAATATTCCATTCCATACATACATGTCTATATATATATCAGATTTTCTTTATCATTCATCTGCTGATGGATGCTTAGGTTGTTTCTTATGTCTTAGCTATTGTGAATAATGCTGCAGTGAACATGGGGATACAAGTGTCTCTTCAGGGTGGTGATTTTGTTTCCTTCAGATAAATACCTGGAAGCAGAATTACTGGATCATGTGGTAGTTGTATTTTTAATTGTTTGAGGAACTGGCGTACCATTTTCCCTAGTGGCTGCACCAATTTACAGTTCCACCCACCGTGCACAAGGGTTGCCTTTTCTCCACATCCTTGTCAACACTTGTTATCTCATCTTTTTGATAATAGCCATTCTAACAGGTGTGAGGTGATATCTCATTGTGGTTTTGATTGGATTTTCCCTGATGGTTAGTGACATTGAGCCCCTTTTCATGTACCTGTTGACCATTTGAACATCTTCTTTGGAAAAGTGACTGTTCAAATCCTTTGCCCGTTTTTAAATTGGATTATTTGCTTTTTGCTGTTGAGTTGTCCTTCAATTTAGCTAAGCAGGTTTGGAGAGTCACCTGGACCCGTTGAGTGGCACAAATGAGCATGTAGCATTACCGGGAGCAGAAATTGCAAATGGACAGCCACAGGCCACTCCAAATCTAAGATATGTTTTGGCTTGCACATTTTAAAATTTTGAATTAGTTGGAAACTGTTAAGAGACAGAAGATTTCAAATAAAAACCATATTTTTTACTTTCAGCTTCTGCTCAGGGATCTAGAGAGCTGGAAAAGGTGCAATTCCCACCTTATAAGAGCAACAACAGAAAGCTGAAAAAACTGTGAGTTCACAACTTTTCTTCTGCCTGTCAGAGAGTTGAAGTCACAGGGCAAGCAACTAGCCCCAAATCTAAGGAGAAACAGCACCTTCGGGGAGAGACGGGGCACTGTCGTTTGCTTACCTGGGACAGAAACAGCTGGACACCAGAAAGGAGAATTCAGCAAGAATAGTTAGTGATTCGGTAGAGACTGAATACCAGCTGGCAAGAGAGGTTGGAGCCCAGTGAGGCCACAGATACGGGGGAGTTCCCACCCCCTGCAGAGTTCTCCATGGACCCACCAGGAGCTCACAGCACGGATTGGTGAACCTCCAGAGAAAACATCCTTTCTGGTACGGGCGTTAGGGATAAGAGCTACCACAGCAGGGCCGGAAGGCCTAGCTAGCCCCCTGTCTGCATCTCCCCCAGGAAATAAAGCTCTAACCTGTAGGGGGAAAGGAAAGACCACCGCCCTTGGGGCACAGGTGAAACCTATTGCTGCTAGGGGAGGGGAACAGAAAATACTCTCTAGTCAAGGGGGAAGGACGGGAACAAGACCTGGGCCAGGAACTATCGCTGGGGAGAGGCAGGAGCCCTGAGAAGGCCAGACCCCAAGGCCCAGGAACCCAGTATCTGCCTGAGAATAAGGCTTAACCAGAACAACAGAGAGTAGCCCTGCCAAAAGGCTAACAGTAACGAGTGAGAGTAGAACACTGCTGGGAGAACTGCACAAGTGCAGAGACAGCCACATTGAAGCACATGGTAAGGGAAAGACCTAAAGCCGACGATGAAGCGGAAATGGGAAAACCAGCCACTGCCCTAAACACAAGGTATTGTTAGAGGAATTTGAAGCCTGTGGTGCACAGAGAGTAACCGGTAACCGTAGCAACAACAAACCTCAAACTCAGCTCAGCTCTTGACTAGATTACTACTACCCCTCCCACTAGAGATCTACCAGAAGGAAAAGCTTTAGAAACGTTAAAGGAAATTCTTTTGGCAGAAGCAATAAGGCATCAGACAGAAACTGAGATCTACACAAAGAAATGAAGAGTGCTGGAAACACAATGAATGAAGGTGATAGAAAATTTAATTTTTGTAGAAGAAAACTGATGCTCTAAGAAACAACAGCAACGTATATTTATAGCATAGGGAAAAATAAAATGTATGACAACAATAGCACAAAAGAAAGAAGGGAGGAATTAAGTATATACACTTATAAGGTCCTTAAACTACATATGAAGTGGTAAAATATTTGGTGGTAGGTTCCAATTAATTAAAGTTGTATATTGGAGAAACTAGGAAAAAAACTAAAGTTTTTTCTTAAAAAAATATAGAAATGAAGCATAAATAAAATAGTGGAGACAAAGATGGAATAATAAAAAATGCTGAATTAATCCAAGAGTACACAGGAAACAAGAAAAAAAAAAAAACGAAGAACCAATGGAACAAATAGAAAGCAAGCTATCAAGAGGGGGGATTTTAATCCAAACATATCAAGAATTACGTTATGTGTGAATGGCCTAAACACACCAGCTGAAAGACAGAGACTATCAGATTAGATAAAAGAGTAAGTTCAACCATTTTCTATCTACAAGAAAATTGCTTGAAATGAAACACATAGGTAGGTTAAAAGTAAAAGGACAGAAAAAGATACACCACTCAGAAACTAACCAAAAGAAAGTTGAAATAGCTACATTAATCTCAAAGTAGACTTCAGAATATGGAATATTATCGGGGATGAAGAGGGACATCACATAATGAAAAAGGGGTCAATTCAGGAAGACATAGCAATATGTTTGTACCTAACAACAGAGCTTCAAAATACACGAGGGGAAAAATTGATAGATAAATCCACAATTACAGTTGCAGACTTGAACACTCCTCTCTCAAATAGAAAATCAATAAGGATACAGAAGATTTGAACCGCACTATCAACAAACTTAGTGTAACTGACATTTATAGAATACTCTACCCAAAAGCACATATACTTTCGTTTTCCAGGGCACATGGGCCATTCACTGAGATAGAGTGTATTTTGGGCCATCAAACAAACCTTAACAAATTTAAAAGAATAGAAACTATACAAAGTATGTTCTTGGACCATAGCAGGATTAAATTAGAATTCAATAACAGAAATATATCTGGAAGCCTGGGCTTTTGTATGTAGTACAGTACAGTGTCTGCCACGAAACACTTTAAAGAAATATTTTTAAATGAATATTGAATGAAGGATAAAGTTTAAATTGTCGTTATCATACACCTTGGGTACATCTTTTCTGGAACAATCCCAATTTCATGAAAGGTGGTTATTTTTTATTAAGATGATTCTACAAATGAATAAATAATTTCACTTTATATTTTGTAAAGTGTTTTATAAAATTACGTTCAGAAATCATATTCAGTACTTGGCCACACACTCTGCTTTTGCTTTTGGTTCAGAAAGGCTGACTGGCTGTGTTGGTTATACTGCTTGGCCCCCCAATCCCCTTTAAGGCCCTTCTCTAGCCTGGTCCATGCCCTGGAGGCTGACCCTTCGGGCTTCATCTCTCTTGATACCTTTCTGGTGGGCATCTGTTGGGCTTGGTCAACGGGAGCCATTGACAGAAGGTCAGATTATATCAGAGGGAAGGAGAAGGTGAGAGTGGAGTGTTTCTTACCCCCCTCTCCCTGTTTCGTGTCTCTAGCCGTGGCTCTGTCCTCTCTGACTACACCCCCAGGGGACAGCAGCTCCTCCACTGCTCTAACTCTAACTGGGCTCCAGCCATGTTGTCCATTCAGGCCTGGAGATGGTAACGGTTTCCTTCCGTTGCTCGTCTTGGCAAGCCTCACCTCAGAAGCAGTCTCTTCAGTTAAGCCCCATCGTGTGAAACAAATGGGGTGGATTCTGCTTCCTGCCTAGACTTGACTGAACTGTCAACTTCACCTTAGCAGGGGCAATTTGCTAATTAGGTCACCCCTCTAGGTCAGTGGGTCTTCCTCTTGCTGTGAATTGGAATCACCTAGAGAACTTTAGAGCAGACTGCCGCTGGGTTCCATCCCCCGAATTTCTGATGTCATTGGTCCAGGGAGTGGCCTGCGCATCAGAGTTTTTTAAAATCTCCCCAAGCCATTCTATTGTGCAGCCAAGGATGAGAAGCTCTGCTCTGCCTCATTCACCACCTGTACAGAGAGATTTTTAGCTCATAATGAAAACTCAGCTACATACATCCTATTGTGATGTTTTTCTCTTTTTACAAATTATCGCAGTCTGCAGTTTAAAGTGATGTTATTTTTCTACTCTTCTACTCGTGAAAATATTTTTAACAAAATAGAACAGGTTTACATATATTTCTGTAACAGTTTCCTCAAGAGGTCAAAAACAAAGAACAGATGTTTCTGGAAAGCATAGAAATGTGCTATATGTACTTTTTTTGATTGGGGTTGTGTGGAGGCGAGTTTTGCGAGAGAGGGTAGAAAGGGAATCCAAAGAGCCGTCAGGGGATTCCACAAGGGAAAATATTTCAGAATCATGTGTGTTGAAGCACTGCTCTCTTTGAAATAGAAGTACAAGCACTACGTAATTAACTCACGTCAAATGCAGTGACTGATCTGGTCTTGACAATGTGCCCTGAGAAGGAACCACATTAAAACAATCGTTTACATCTTTTGGCATATTGAAATAAGCAGTGGCTACCGGCCGCGTGAGAACCTTTGAAGTGTTCAATGTTTAAAATGCCTTCACCATTTGGCAAGTTTTAAAATACAAAAGAACCACAACTGTATTCTCCTCTTTTAAAAGACAATTTCACTTTTTAAACACTACTCATTTGTTAGTGGTGATCAGACTTGATATTTTTTGAGGGAGAACTGATTCTATCAAGTTTTTAATTTCATTTTGACCATTCCAGAGATATCTTATCTAAATAGATACTGTGCCTACATCAGTTCGCTATTGCCACATTCATCTCAGTGGCCAGCAAGTATTTATTTCTCACTCACAGGTGGTAGGTCAGTAGGGCAGGTCAGCGGGGTAGCTGTATCGGTCCGTTTGGGAAGCTATAAAAAAATACCATAACTGGGTAGTTTATAAACAGCAAACATTTATTTCTCACAGTTCTGGAGCCTGGAAATTCCGGTTTTGTGGTGTCAGGAGATTTGGTGCCTGATAAGAGCTCCCTAGTTGAGATGGCCATCTTTTCTCTGTGCCATTTTGTGGCAGAAGGAGCTAGGGAGCTCTGAGAGGACTCCTTTACAAGGGCACTCATCGTAATCATGAAGGCTGTGCTGGAGCATCTCCAGATCTCTACAGAATCTATGGCTTCAGACACCCCAGACCCTTCACAACCACCAAACTGAACTTTATGAGAGGGGTCTGGGGTGTTTGCAAAACCACAGATTCTTCACAGGTTTGGAGTAGCTGCAAGGCTTTCTTCTCCTTGAAGCCTTGTGCCTTGAGAGAGCAGGATGCTCAGAGCCATAGAAGGCTGTCTGCCAGAGCCCATGGCAAAGATCTCAGACTCCAAGGCTCTCTGGGCCCCAGAGGGGCAGATCTGGGAAGATTCCTTCAAAAGGGCCACACCTGTCCACTTGTTGCTGTGGTTCTTAGAGGAGCTGCCCAAGCTTGTTAATCATACAAAGCCTGGAGGGGTTTGCAACAGTGGGATAAACTTTCCCGAGTCTGTGCAGCTGAGAAAGAGTTGTCCTCCCTTATGTGGAGGAGGCCAGGGGGAGCCTGGGACCCTCAGCTGCACTTCAGCGGGCAAGCAAACCCTTTCTTTGCTAGCCCAGCCCCTTTACTGCCCATCCAGTAAACAAAAACTGACCAGCCTTCCCCTAAGACTCACTTTCCTTGGCCCAAGAGGCCCCAGTGGACTGGCCTAATGTGAGGGCATAGACAACCCATGTTACCCATTTATGAGCACTCCGTATGTTGAGAGGGAAGACCAGACCTGGCAATTAGAAAAGGTGGCTCCAGTTAAGGCAGAGTCAGTGGAAAGGTAAAGGATAAGTTTAACAACACGGAAATGACTCCTGAGGAGATTCAATTATAGAGGAAAAGGCAACTTCCTAAAATAAAATGCATGGATTTTAAATTGTGGTAAACAGAACAATCACTGCTAAGACAAACTCATGCTCTGAGTGAGCAAAAGGAAGATCTATCATACAACAGAAATTAAAAACATTAAAAAACGGAAACTACAAACAAAAAGACAGGAAACTCTAAGGATAGATCCAAGAAGCCTCTGATGCAAATATTATTACTTTCAGGACAAGAAAACATATCACAGAGAGTGACAGAGAGAAAAAAAGTCATAGTAAGAAAAAATGAAATAAAAGAAATTTACTGAAGTTAAAGAAAGTTTCCAAAGGAAACTGAACATAGCCTCAAAAATTACTGAAATACTCCAAAGCCCAAGAGACAACCTTATAAAGACTGTCTTTCAGAACAAAACCAGATCACTTACGTGGTAATCAAATCAGACTAGCACTAACTTACAAATTACATTCTAAACCAAAGACATTAGAATGACTGAGGACTATTGAGAAAAAAAGGGTAAGACTGAAGAATTCTATACCCAGCCAAGATATCATTTAATGCAAAAAAATGACATTTGGGGATAAGTAAGGATTCAATGTGTTGCCATCCTTGTAACCCATCTGAGGAAATACCCAGAAACTATTCTAATCAAAAACAAGTAAATCAGAACATGGATCTCATGATTTGGGAAAACAAGAGAGTGCAGGAAACAGGGATAGTTAAATACAAATGGATAACATTGCTGATGCGACTGAAAATTTATATGCCTTTAAGCCTTCTTTAAATAGAAAAGGAAATTATAAGGAAATCCCCAATAAAAGCTTGAAACAAAAATTCCAAACTATCTCAGCAATGAACTGTGTGAGTGTGTGTTTCCATGTGCATGGGTATGTGCAGAGGATGGGGTGGGAAGTACAATACGGAATGGAAAATAAAATCTCCTGTCAGTGAGTGCAGACGGGAGGAACTGTGAAGGCTAAGGAAGTGGGAGCATAGAGATTAGGTAATTTTTGTATATTAGCAGAGAAATCCAAATTTAGTAATGACCATGTGTGATTTAAAAAAAACCTACTGGAATAAACAAAAATAGTATAATTTATAAATTAATAGTGTAAGGAAGAAATGAAGAAAATTGGGAATAGTAAAACTAAAAGGAACAAAGAATAGCAAACAGAAAAATAATATAGAAATCATAAAACCAAGTATGTTAAGCATTAAATTACTGTGTACTGACTAAATTCTCCTCTCAAAAGACAAAGACTCCCATATTAGTTATAATGTAAAACTCAGACATAAGGTATTTTCTAGAAATGCATTGAAACAAAGTTACAAAGAAAGACAGAAATAAAGGGAAGGCAAAGATCTACTAAGCAAATACCAAGAAAAAACAAATCCCCCATGAACGGCAACATTGACATCGCTTAAAATATAATTGCAGGCCTAATCACTAACAAGGTCAAAGAGGAGTAACATATAGTGGGGACAAAGTTAATCAAGGAAGAAGTTCTGTATAAGTCATAAACATTGATAAACAACATAGCAGCCATATATATAAAAAATACACAAATACATATATATAACACACACATATATGTAAAAATAAAATCCCAGAAATACAAGGAGACATTGATGAAAACATGTTTATTGCGAGATTTTAAAAATACTATTCTTTCAGAATTTGACAGTTCAAGTACACAATAAAGGTAAAGATATAATGGATTTTAAAAATATAATAACCTACACATTTTTTCTCTTCTTATATTCATATAATACACAAATTAATTATATACTTAGCATAAAAGAAAATGTTGCTAAATTTCCCAAAGCAGAGGTTTTTTCTTTTACTTTCTAACAGGAAATCAACAATAAAAAGATTTTTTAAATCCTCTAATGATTGGAAAATTAAGAAATCTCTTCCACAAGAGGAAATCAAAACTGAAACCACAAATTAAGTATCCAAAAGAGAATAGGAAAAATATTGTATCAAAACCTACTGTATACAGTTAAAGGTATGTTGAGGGGGGGTGAATTTATAGCCTTAAATGATTTTATTGTTTAAAAATAAAACAAAACAAAATTACACAAAGTCATGAATATCATATTTTGAAAATCTGGATCTTATTTTTCCTTGATTATTGAGAAAATGACCTGGTAGGCCCTAGTGCTTCCTTCGATTTTCAGATTTTCTGCTTCCGAACTATTTTCCTTTTTCATTCATCCCTTTGTCAATGTCACAGTGAGAGCGAATAAAGCGATCAAGAATTTGTCTGTCTGCAAATTATAAAGAAAAACAGGATGAAAATTTCCAGTTAACTATTAAAGTGCTATATAGAGAAGTTCTAGTAAGGAGGTGAATATCTGATACTAGTACTCTATAGAAATATTTGATGAGACTAAAATAATCTAAGAGTATTATATCTAATAGCTAAAAACACACAATTGTGTAATTGTTAATTCGAAAGAGCAAATTTAATATTCAAAGGATCAGCAAGGCTTCCTGGAAAGAGAATGGATTTTAGAACGAAACAGAGTAAGTTTCAGCTCTGTGCTGTAAGTATCAGCTAGTCATTTGACCTCTCCATTTCTTCATCTCCTCATCTTTGAATATAGGTATAGTGCTGACCTTGCACAGTTGTTGGAATGGATTAGGAATGCTTTGTGTGAAGCACCTAGACAGGGCCTATGCCATAAAAAGACACTCAATATATAGTGTCTTACACCGACCCTCTTATTACTGGGTACACAGTTTTAAATAGAGGCTATTGTTATAAAAGTTTCTTCGAAGCCAGGACTGTTTTTCTGCCCACCAATGTTGGTATGCCTTGCTTTGAGTGATGACCGATCGTGGGAAAGCCCTTCAACTCTCTGGTCTCCATTTTCTCATTTGGAAAATGAAGGAATCTTGTCTAGTTCTGAATATCTATAGTTCTCTAATCCTAATTACATATTTTTTTCAAGTAATTTTATTGGGATCATAATGGTTTATAACATTGTGTAATTTTGGGTGTACATTGTTGTTTACCAATTCCTGAATACACTTCATCGTGCTCACCCCCAGTAGTCTAATTTTTACCCATCACCACACGTATGTGCCCCTTTGTCCCTTTCACCTTCCCTCCCCCCAATCCTCTTCCCATCTGGTAACCACTACTCTGTTCTCTTTCTCCACGTATTTGTTATCTTCCACATATGAGTGAAATCATGCTAATTACATATTTTTTGATAGTACAGAGTAGAGCTTTAACACTTTGCTCACTCCTAGCAATAGCAATAGTCATCTATACAGCCAAAGCCAAAAGAGAGGAAAAATGCAAGTCATAACATGTTATCATGTTCAATGTCCACGTTATCATGCTCAGTGTTACACATGCCATCTGAGGCCTATAGATCAGGGGTGTGTGTGTGTATGTACGTGTGTGTGTTCCTCATTTACTCTCCAATGATGTCTGCATTTATTTGTTTTTGTGACCTCACATTTAATTTTGAACCATCTGCACCCTACTCCATACCTTTTTTGACCTCAGCATTTTTCAGTTGAGGTATACTTTTCATAAAGTGAAATGCACTGATGTTCTGTGAACAGTTCAATGGGTTGACATTTGCATTCATGTAACTTACATCCATATAATGATATCGATCATTTTCACCCCCAGAAAGATGCATCATTCTCCTTCCTAATTAACACTTCCCACCCCAAGACAGATATTGCTCTGATTTCCTTCATCAGAGATAAGTTTTACCTGTTGTAGACATTCAAATAAAAGAAATCACGCAAAAATGTATTATTTTGTGTCAGGCTTCTTTTGCTCAGTATAATGTTTTTGAGGTTCATACATTTTGTTGAATACATCAATAATTCATTCTTTTTTATTGTCTAGTGGTATTCTATTTTGTGAATGCATCACAGTTTGTTTGTTTATCCATTCTCCTGTTGATGGAGATTTGGGTCGTATCCAGTTTGGGACTATTAAGAACAAAGCGATTACAAACATTCTTATACAAGTCCTTTTGTGGAGATGTTTTCTTTTCTCTTGGGTAAATACACAGAAGTAGCAATTCTGGACCATGGAGTAGATATATGTTTAACTTTATGAGAAGCTGTCAGATTTGTTTTCAAAGTGATTGTACCATTTGACATTCCTACCACCAATGTATTGCTCTATATTGTCAACATTTGCTATTTCAGTCCTTTTGTTTTAAGCCTAAAATGTCTCTATTTTAAATCTTTTATCAAAGAGTTAATTTTAAATAAGCAAAACAGAAAAACCTTTCTCATACCAAAGATAAGCATATAAGATAAATCAAGCTTGGCATGAATTAATAAAAAAAGATGAGATTGTGTCAAATTTAATGTCAACTTAGGTCCAAAAGTCTGCCAGTTGTAATTCAAATACTCCCCATATTTATTATGTACAGATGCAGATTCATGCCCTGGGATTTAGTTTATGCTGTTTCCTCTTCTTAGGAGTGGTCCTGCTTCTCCTCGTCATGCTGATTCATCCTTGACACTTAAAGGAGGCCTCTTCTGAGCAGCCTCTCCTAGTCCCCTGGGAACCCACACTTTGGGAGCACCCCTTACAGGCTTCTAATATACCCAAAGACTACTTTGATTACGGAGCTTATGACACTATGACTGTGTGTCCATCTCCCACACCCAACAATGAATTCCCTGAGAAAAAGGATTTGTTGTTTATTTGTCTTTGTATCAAGTGAGCATTATAGGCATTCAATCAATGGAATTCATTGAATGAGTGAATAAATGTATTCTTAACAATATAGACTCACCCTCTAGAAAGAATACCCTTTGGATAGCCGTATTCATGGGAGTTTTAATTGAAGGAAGAGATGGCGAGGGAGAAACAGCTGCAAAACTCTGAAAACCAGATTTCAGATCATTTTGTCTTTCGAGGGGGGAATAAGTGGAGAGATGACAGTCTTTACCAGCAGATAACAGAGGCCAAAAGGGTAAGCTGTTGGATAGTCTGAATCACTCAGATTATAACAGAGATTAAAACAATTTTCAAAAGAAAATGGCCACTAAAGACATCTAGTTCAATTTCCTCAAGTTATAAAAACAGAAACTCAGTACCACACAGTCACATACAGTTATTGGAAACCAAAGGTTCGCCTTCAGCTGCTCCTCCTCTCTCCTTGCCCAGATCTATTGTGACCTTGTGGGGTTTTCTCTATCCGGCCTCACCCTGCCGTCTCCCCAGCCCCTGACTTAGGCCATTATGCTGGCCCTTCCCCTCTCTCTTTCAAAATGTACCTGTTCTGGGCTCCCATAGTTACCGTCTAACAGGGACAATCCAGTAAAACAATTTAAACTGAGGTGATAATAATTCAGCCTAATACATCTGCCAGGTTTTTTGTTCTGCATACTCACTCAGCCCTACCACAAATGAGCCCTGCTGAGATATTTGTCAGCTGAAAAGCATTAGCATCATCCCCAACACTGGAAAATGACAAGAGGTTTGGGCGTAAGAATTCAAAGGGAGCCTCCTGTTTGCTCGTCAGCCCCTAGCATAGCTGGCAGGGATGAGCAGGCCATTCTAAAGCAAAGCCAGGAAAGAGAAACTAACGCCCACAGAAAGCCGCTCTACATACGCCCAAGTCAGTGCAAAATGGCAAGGCTCTGGGGAGTGAGCCTTTGGGTACCTGCCCCCAGTGCTGTCCTGAGGGAACCAAGAAAGCAGGAGACCTAAGAAGAAACCAAAGCCGAGACTGGCCCCAAAGCTACTTTGTTAGTTAATAGATCGCGTCTCCCCTGTGGGGGTAGAAAAAGTCCAGCTGGATGGACAGGTTCACGAGAAAGGTCAGCTTGCCCAAGGAATCCTGGAGAAAGCAGATCTGAGTTGAGCAGATGCTGCTCAACTGCTCAATCTGAGGGGACCTTAGTTCACCCTTAGAGGACACTGTTAAGGCTCGGATGGCAAATGACACACAGACAACAAGAGGCAGGTGCCCAGCAGCCACCGTGGTTTACCTGTGGGCAGAGAAGGGACGGCTCCATCTGGACTGAGAGTCCCTGGACAGATAGCAGCATCTGCTTCAGGAAGGCAGAAATACTCATTCTATAGGGTCAAACAGATGTGGCTTCTAAAGGTGAAAAGAGCGCCTTAGAAAATGCAGACGATGGTTTGATATGTAAGAACCAAAGCTGAGGAAAGGAGCGGAAAGCAGGGCCAAGCACGGCTTCTGCTGTGCCTCCTGGGAGGATCCGACCAGCAGCCCTCAGGAGCCCTTGGTTTCCTTCTCAAGTGTGAAACCGGTCCAGAGGCATCTGTTGAGAGGAATGAGCTCCCAGTGGAAAACACAGACTTCTGCTTCTGCCTGAGAGTGAGGAAAAGCAGCTGCTCCTTGTACTTCCTTGAAACCCAACATCCAAGCTTTTTTAAGGGCCTTCGGGCCACTAGCCCTCAGTCTGTGATGGTAGAAAATATTGTCTTTTCTCCCAACACACACACACACACACACACATACACACAAGCACACCTCCCTTTCAGTCTTTTCCACAGTGGGGTTTCAGTCCCGTGTGGGGCAAGAGATCCCAGAATAAAAGGGTGTCAAGGAGGATTTCAGAGGAGTGAGCTCTTCTGATTGTGGCTGGGGACAGGCAGAAGACAGAGAATTGGGGACCCAACAGAGGAAGGAGACAGGGAACAGTTGGAGGGTTACTGAGCACCTGGTGGAAGACCTCAGCTTAAGCCTGACCACAGGGCACAAAAAGAATCCGTGATCCCCAAAGAGCCTCGAGCACAGAGCAGGGCGCAGAGAATGATGCACTGAATGCAGGAAGAAATACCAGACCCTCTCCTCTATTTGCTTTTTACTTCCTCCTTTAACATTTTGTAAGCTTTACAATGCACATGATGCATTAGTTTAGTGGTATATGAATATACTTTGTATAAACATGTGGACCTGCATTGGGGCATGTACTCAGAAATGAGGGGTAATGGAGTGTGTGATCTATAGCATTGGGTGCTGAGGGGCAGCTGTTGGAAGAGTTTAGTTTCTTCTCCTCCAACTCTTACTCCCTGAGTTGATATTTTACACACACTCAGACTGACCAGTTGCCCCCAAGAGGCTCCCAACTGATTCCAGTCCCTCGGCCCCGGTCTGGGATAAGGCTTTGCTCTGTGGAGGGAAGCAGCACTGTCCTGAGAAAAGCATTGACTCTTTCTGAGGATGTGACACATAAAGATTCTCATGCACCCTAACAAGCCTGTCACAAAAAGTACTACCCAACAGGAACTAAAGATACATCAAATAAAACAAAACCGTGAAAGAGTAAAACACCCACTGGAGACATCAATTAACCATCAGAGGAAGGAAGTCATCCTGGACCAATTCAACCACAGGCAAAGTGAGATCAGAAACGAGTGAAAAGTTACATGATTCCTTTTTAATAAGTGGGGATATAATCACTGGGGCCTCTGTTAAGAAAAATTGATTTTCAATGGGTTGAAGTTTGCCAAAACCTATGGGATTTTTTTGAGGCACTATTTTTCTTTTTGTGAACATTTAACTCCACTGGCTAGAAGTTAGAACAATTTCTATTTGGCATAAAGCAATGTATTACAATCTGTAAATTTATTAAATAGTAACTCAAGACCTCATCTTACCTTTATAGGAAACACTCTGAAGGTATTCTCTGATTTGAACCGGAGTGAACGAGTTTAAAATCGTTAAGAAATTCAGGTAGTCTTTCCCGTAGTCACTTTGGTACGTGGTCTGCTTCTTTGAGCGCTCTTGATTCCTCATGTGGCTCTTCAGCACCGAAGGGACTAGGGGAACGCAAGGAAGAGAAAGGAACAGAAGCTGTCGCCTGAGCACAGAACTCCCGCCCTTCATTGTCGAACATGCCCCTGACAGCCCTGAGCGCAGCAGGGAGCTTAGGCGGCATCTTAAATGGTACTGGAAAGTGAGACTGGACGATTGACTCCTCCCTTGACTCGGGCTGTGCGGAGCTGCAGGGACTCAGGACTGCTGCTGTTGGAGTGGGAGTGATTGGCGATGGCAGCCAGAAGGTTGAGTTTGACCATCATTTTCAGGAAAGAATTTCTCCCCGAAATCAACCCTTCTACAGGTCAGCAAGTTAGGATGATAGCATTCACCACCTGCTTAATAAACAAATGCTGTCATAGAAGCTGCTTTCCCTTGCATGCAGTCTTCTGTGCAGACTTGGACTGACACACTAAGAGCCTCCCTCAGGGCCTTAGGTGTCAGCAGTTGGAAGAACGATGAAACCTACAGTCAGCACTCATTGTCCATTCGGACTAATGGAGACGTGAAGTGCAGGCAAAGCCAAAATCACTTACATTTGACTCTGAATGCTGTTCATTTAATGTGGGTTCTGAGAGTCACGGACTTATCGTGAAAAACAATGAAGACATGATGTGAGAACCTAATTTCTACAACTTGCCCAATCTTTGTAAACCTCAAGGACATCTTAAATACTTCTTTCAACTCCAGGTGTCCCCTTTACAGGGACCATTGGCCAGATGGAGGTGAGGGAACGTGATGCTACATCCCGAGAAGAGTGTCTGCAGGGTCTGGAAATGCTTTTAGTGAAGAAGACTTAGAAGGCATGTAATAAGGTTTCCATAGAATAATAGATTTATGCTACTTAGCCACTGTGAGAAGAGGTAGAACCAATGACTAGAAGTTTCGCAAGGAAGATTCTAACTCTTGAGAACTTTCAACAATTTAAGTACCTAAGAATGAAGGCGCTGCCTTGGGGGATGGGGTACTCCACTGAGGGGTTTGAGCAGGGACGATATCACCCCTCAGCCAGGATAGGACAGACACTCCATGTCTTACACACAACATGGGGGTCTAGACTAGGTAACTTCTAGCCTACCTTTTAACCCCAAGATGCTAAGCTTCTAGTCTGTGATTTTTGTCTAAAGTACTACTTGATCCCAACTCCATGCCAGGATCAAATCGCTATCTCAGACTGACTCCAAATTATCTTCTTAACTAGTAGCTTGGAAGTGGCTCAGTCATGCAACTTTTAAAAACTTTTCTGTTGAAAACAATAGGAATCAGGATCCTAAAAGAACACTCAAATAGAATGGGTGCTAAACCTGAAGATGCTTGAAGACTGTGCCTTGTGGATAACCTTCCAGTGGATAACTAACAAGTCTAATTTGATTGCCACTTAACCTCTTTTTTGGTCATCTTATAGTAACTAAATCCTTCCTTTGATTTTGTAAGGGGAAGGTGTCCCCCAGTCCCAAGGACTGCCCCTTCCAGGCACAGAATGCCCTCATTCATGGCATGAGCAGTCAGTTCTCTTCTAAGACTTGCCCATTCCCTGGGTTTGAGGCTGAGTACCACAGGGGCAGAGTTTCAATTCCATGCAGGGGTCACTGGCATTTTCCATGACTGTTATCAAGATTGCCTTCCAGGACCCTATGTGCTGAGGAATCTTGGAGCAAGGACAGGATCTATGAAGTTGTTTTAAAAGCTACAGGTGTACTTACCTAGACCCTGAGAAGCAATTGGTAGGCTTGAGTAGCATCCATATTTGAAACTAAAATCCTGAAACTCAGGAATTTTAGCTGGAACTTGGTAATTCCGCCGAAATTCAGTGTCTGCAGGTTGGGGAAGTAACTTTTTCCATTCCAGAGACATCGGAGAACTTTGCTTAATCTTCTGAGCTGGGATCAGTGTACAAATGGAAGGCAATAATTATTCCTCACAAGCTATTTCTAAATAGCATCCTATCTTCATTCCATTTTGCTTCTGGCAATAGCTTCCAATTTATCACCCTAAAACCCTTTCTTCTTGTATTAGAGGAATGGTCAATGTACTTTTTATGGATATTTCAAGAAAGAAATAATTTTCTGCTTTATCAGGCACAGGAAGTATATGCTCAAGTGATTAGAAGTAGTTTCTAATGAATATATTGTATGTCAGTTAGGAGAGCTCTTTTGTTCTGCCTAGGGGACACAAAGGCATCCCTCACTCCAGCAGGCTGCCTAGTTGCTGGGGCAGCGGTGGGGGGCAGGGTGAGAGATTTTAGATAGGGGTAGGGTTGTCATATAAAACATAAGACACAAGATAAATCTGAACTTCAGATAAACAACGAATAACTTTTATTGTAAGTATGTATAAGTAGTCATTATTTACCTGCTATACACTGTAAGTCATTATTCAAATTTAACTAGGCATCCTGCATTTTTATTTGCTAAATCTGACAGCCACAGATGGGGCAGTGCATGTCATCTCCATTACCTGGAAAAGAACTACTCAAAGCTTATCTCTTACTGACGGAGGGTTAAGTAACATTGTCATTAGTGGACAATAGCGCTATTATTTCTTTGAAATAAGTCTGCTAACAAATATTCATTAAATATATAATCATTAACATCAATGAAGCACTGACTAAATGCCAGGTTCCACAAGAACTACCAGGTCACAGAAGAAAATCATACAACACCAACTTTATTCAGGACAAAGATGTTAAAAATGTGGATTTCATGAACAACATCCAAACAGTGCATTTATGGACATTAAACTCAATTCTTATTCTAAATTAGTTTTTCAATAGGTGTTTTCAAAATAAATGCAAATGTACATTGTATATCAAACAATATGTGATGTCATCTACTGGCACCCAAGAGCATTTTAATATTGATTTTAAAAAATGATCTCTGTCTAGACAGGCACAGTGGGAGAGGGTTCAGTACATGCTGCCTCTTAATTTAGATGACTCAGGAAGGTAGGACGTGGGTACTCAACGGCCTTCATGATGACCTCATAAATGGCCCGAGGAGAAGACAAGGTCAGAGACGAGGAAACTCTAGGGCTTAAAATCAGGACATCCCTCAAGACATTTTGGAAACTCATCTGGTATTGTTCCTAGTAAGCACCATCTATAACTTGGTTTTTGTGAACTACCAAAACCTTATAGGAAAAAAACAAATTCCTGTCGAAATACTTGATGCATATGCCTATCCCTCTCTCCTAGAGCTACCACTCAAAAGTGACTCTTTTCAGTTCCCATGTGTGTTCTGTGCTAACATTCAAGATCATTAAGTCATCATTCTACCTTAAGACAACCTAAACTAATGTGATTAGAAACATATATACAGGACAAACATACATGGAATGTGATGTCTTGCAACTATAACACTTGGAACTGTGATTCTCACATGGAGATAATACATCAGAATTACCTGGGGTGGTTTTTCCAAAATACACCTGCTGAACCTCATCCTAGACATTGAGAATCTCTAGACATGGAACTCAGGCACTTACATTGTGAACGAGCTTCCCATAGGCTTAACAATCACTGACTCAGAGCTTTAAATAAGGTACTACGGAAGCCCAGAGAGAGCGTGATGAGCTCTGCTAGAGGAAGAGAAGGAAGACAAGAATTAAAAGGCAGATACAGCAAAGGGTGTGCTTTGACGATGGGTCAACACTGAAGCAAAAGATGCACAGCGTGTTCATGAAACATAGTCTGGCTGGCAGGAGTGTGAGGCATGCAGGGCAGGAGGAGTAACTGAGGGGGAAGCAGGAGAAACAACTTAGGAACCAGGCTGCGAAGCGTCTTGAGGGGTTGGGTCACGTGCAACAGGATGGACCAGCCAAGAAGTGGAGTAATTGGAGAAGAAGCCCCAGAAAAGACAAAAATCAGGGCCTACACTTACTGTGAGTTTCTTTGAAGATAAAGATTGTCTTATTCTACATTGATCCTTAGTACTTATCACAGTAATAGACCTCATTAAATATTTACTAAATTAAAGAGTGAACAAAAGAAAAAAATTAGAAACCTAATTGTTATGGATTAGCAATTACTCTGAACTACACTTTAGTGACTGCCTGTATGATCCATGCTTAGAGTAACTCAGTTCTTCTCAACTATCGCCTTCCTTGTTTTTGTAAGATTTCATGTTAATGAGTTCCTTCAGCATTATTAAGCAGAGAAGTTCCTGATACAAAGGGACCCAACCACCACCTGAAGTCCCCATTGTGGTATCGAAGTATGGACAGACAAGATAACCATGACTCAGAGAGAAGCTGACCCAATGCTAACCACACCTGCAAAGCCTGGACCCCTCCCAGGGCACCATTCCTGATCCTCAGAAGCTCAGCTCCCACTGGTTTCTCTTCCGTCAGATAATGGTGGTACTATCCTAGAGTCGCTATAGCCCAAAGACAGAAACTGGCCTGCCGAAGATTAGGTATGGCATCTGCAGAAAGGCCCAATCCAAGTGCAAATCTACAGCAAGGACTAGTCAAAAGCACTGGGACCATCGGCACATAATCTACAGCCAAGTGAGAACCAGTTCTGCTGTCTTTATCTGCTGTTCTAATTCATCAGAACCAAGTTCTCCAAGCCGGAATGTGAAAACCAGCACCTTTTAGTGCTTCTCATTGGTTTGCTTTAATTTAATGATGAGGATACAAAGGTAAGACATGGTCCCTGTGCTTCAGAAGCATAAAGTGTTAGAGAAACAGATCCAAAAAAAGATAATTACAACATTACGTGACAAATGCCGCAAAAGAGGTAAGAAAATGATCTATAAAAACATATGGGATTTTTAAAATTTAAATTCAAATTTAAATTCACCCATCTAAACTTGGGGGAATCAGAGAAGACTCCAGGGAGAGAAATGAAGCTTACATTTAGACTTCACTTTGCAGAGACATAGGCTAAAAGAAAGAAGGGAGAGGTGCTCCACAGGGAGGAAGCAGGTGTGCAAAGGGCACAAGCCTGCAGGGGGCATGGTGAGTCTGGAGGAGAGAAGACGATCAGTGTCACAGCGCGGGGGCTGGCAAGAAAGAGTGCTAGAATGGTAGGCAAGGACCTATGGTACAGGACTCATGTTAAGGCATTTAGCTTTTATCCTGAGGACAATGGGCAGTGACTGAAGGGTTTTAAGCTAGAAGGTGACATCTATTTGCACATCCAGAAACTCACTGAGGCTGCAGCATTGACAGTGGATTAGACGGGACAAAACTGGAAAAGGCAGTTGGATTAGGGGTCATCCAAGGGAGAGACATTGGTAGCCTGAAGGAAAGCAGTAGCTGTGCGGGGGGGAGAGAAGCAGATGGAGTTAGAGATTTAGGAGAGAGTCTTGACAGGTCTCGGGTATTTATCTGCACAGTGGGAAACGGTAATTTGCGCATGCTGAAAGGGCAACTTTGATTGGAAGCTCACAGACACCTTCTAAGAATGCTGACATTTCAAATGTTTTTCCGTGACCCTTAATGTTTATCTGCAAGTACGGAGGTCTTTTGATTCCACACCTATCTAGCTTCAAAAAGTATACTTCTTTCCACCATTCAGCAAGTATTTACAGAGTGCTCCTATATACCAGGACTAGACTATATATATTACACTAGATACTAAGTGAATAAAGGCCTTTGGGGGGCTTACCGAATAGTGGAGGAAAGAGTAAAACAAAAACAACAAAAAGCAAGAATCAGTAAACAAATGACTGCATAACGCAAAGTGCTAGAAGGAAACAAATGGGGTGGTGGCACACCTCTTCAGACAAAATAGTAAGGAAGGTCACAGGCAATGTGACATTTAAGCTGGAGTCTACAGAAGGACAAAGTGAAACCAAAGAAAGAGCTGGGGGAAGAGCATTTCAGGCAAAGGTGACAGCCTGCACACTGGCTGAGGGTGGGAAAGAAGTCGGCAGCTTAGAGGAATTGAGAAGAGGCCCAGGTGGCTGAGCCTGGGGAATGAGGGGGATGAAGTGAGGGGGAATGGTGAGGAGCTAAGGAAGGGCCAGGTCAACTTTGCAGGGCCTTAGGAACCAAGAGAAGGAACTGGAATTCGGATTTTATTCAAAATGCAGTGGAAAGCCAGTGAAAAGAAGTAATAGAAAAATATGACCCAGTTTAGATGTGTAAGAGATCATCTAGCTGCCATGTAGCAATGGGATTGGAGGGAATTATAGACGATTTAGGAAGATCAGCTACCAGAGGAAGGAGAAGGTGATGACTTAGAAGTCCCATGAGACGTCTACTCAGTCCCCAAATACATGAAACTAGGGGTCTGAGGAGAGGTTTGGGGAAGAGATACAAATGTGGAAGTCCTCAGGATACTTGCTTTTTAAAGGAATTGGAAACTCTAATGAACTCTAATAGTTAGAGGTCAAATAGAAAAAAGGAGCCAAAGAAGTAGGGAAAAAGAAAGCGGGATGTCACAGAAGCTCAAAGAGAAGAGAGTTCCAAGAAAGAGCAAGCAGCCAACAACATTTACTGCTGCTAGAAGGTTGAGTAAGATGCAGATGGAAAAATATCCACTGAAGGTCATTGGGGACCTTGACAACCGCAGTTTCAATGACATGACGGGGGCAGAGATCAGATGGGAAGGGGTTGAAAAGTGAAAAGGTTAGCTTCCTATGAAACCCAATGGATTGCATCCACCCATTTATGACTCCTTCCTCCCCAAACTTTGTCAGAAGGATAGTAGATGAGAGAGAGTAACACATTTTTAGAAGATGGAAACCGAATGGAGATACAGCAAGTGAATTAGCAAAGTCCATAGAGGAAGTTGAAACTAAGTGACGGCAGAGGGCATAGCAAAGAAGTGAGTTAATACACACTGTGGAACTCTAACAGCCTCACACTTGGAGATGACAGGTACAGTGGAAGGCTGGTAGTGAGGCTCAGGGCTGAAAACAAGAAGCCTGGGTGAAAGCTTGGGTACAGAGTGGTTGGAGTTTCCTGGATCACCTGCATAACCTCACACACTCATGTGACCATCCCTTCCTGACCAGAGGTTTCTTCAGAGCAAAAGTGAACCAAAAAGCTCTGGATTCTGGGACACCAGGAATAGTAGAAAGTGGGTATAGTGAGATGCTGAATGAGGAAAAACAGGGGTTCAGTGAGAGACTGCAGTGCCAGCGGGAAGATCTCAGTCCCTTCCCCAATCCTGCTCTCTGAATGCCAACAGCCAAGTGTTCACCTCTCTAGAGAAACTCACCTATAAATACTGGCATTTGGGAGTTTCCAAACAAAAAGAGAGCTCATCACTTAATCATCCAAGTCAAGCACCAGCTAACAAGACCCATCTCTGTAGGTAGTTTCTAGTCAGATTTGAGTACCTTTCTTGCAGGTTTTGTGGGCCCTAGAGCTTAATATTTTGGGCACACCCACTTTAAGAAAGAGAAGAGCCCACAGAGACAAGTTTTATTGGCTTCATAGTAAATCTGCCTCCACTTCCTTGTAAATGTGAACAGAAAGCCAAATTTTCATTAGACCGTTAAGTCACTCAGGGAAAAGATAAAAACACTGAAAACTAAGTATATCATAAATATCCTAAAATTTATAAGAGAATTACTGCATCTATAAAACAAGAACAGAATGCTACTTAAAAAAAAATAATCAGAGAGAAGAATGAAGAGAGTTTGGAGATTAAAAATATGAGAGCTAAAATTAAAATTCAATAGAAGAGTTGGATCAAAAAGTAAAGAGTTTTTCAAATAAACAGACCAAAAATACAAAGAGAAAGACACCAGGAGAGAAAAGTTAAGAAAATCGGAGGATCGACCCAAGTAACAGCAGTCCCAGAAGAGAACAGAGAAAGAGATGGAAGAAAAACAGGTGAGGACTGTGCAGGAAACAATTCCCAGAATTGAAGGACATGAGTCTCTAGATTGAAAGGGACCCTGATTGTCCAATACAATTAATGACAAAAGATTTTCACTAATGCACACAACTGTGAAATTTCACAATGTTAGGAATAAAGAGAAGAACTTGAGAGTTTCCAGGAAAAAAAATACAATAGAGTCAGGAATCAAAAGGGCATCAGTCTTCTACAAAGAAATCCTGGAAGCTAGAAGTCGTTTGGAGGAATGCATTCTGAGGGAAAATGATCATCATCCTAGAATTCTATATCCAGCCAAACTATCAAACAAGTGTAAGGAAGAATACAGGACACTTCTGGTTTGGGACACTCTCAAAAAAGTTCCTCCCATGTACCCTTTCTTAGAAAGCTACTAGAAGATGTGCTTCCGCAAAATGAGGGAGAAGGAACAAGAAAGAGGAGGGTGTGTACTCAGGAAATGAGATCCAATGCAGGCAGAGGCCAAAGAAATGCCCAGAATGATGAAAAAGGAAGTCTCAGGGCACAATGGATAGCAAAGCTATACAGAGCAACCAGTTCAGATTAAAGGAGAATGAGGGAGGGTGTCAGAAAGAAGATATCCAGGAAAACACGCAAACTGAAAGAATGTTTGAAACTGTGTTTGGGAAAAACCTTGGTAAGTGTGTGACAAATATTTGGAAAAACTTAGTGACATGCACATAGAAAACGAAGCATATGAAACAAAGTCAATTATTAACTCCTGTAAAAAAAAAAAAGCCAAAGGAAACATAATCATAAAATGACACCTGGCTCAGCAGTAAATGTTTATATAATCATATTACATCATATCATTGTAATCACAATATAAACAGTAGCAATTGAATTAACCAAAATTTTGTAATATAATTATATCGAGAGGATGGATGGAGGGGGAGTGAGGAAGTTATAGGAGAGCCAAATCCTCAACCACCAGGACAGGAAGTCAACGATGTCTAAAATTGCTGAATCCAAACTAGCAGTATAAGCATACTATTTTAAAATACAGAGGATCACGTAGGACGAAACAGTTGAAAGGACTGAAATTGCCACAGAGGAGTAGGATTGGGAGAGGAGAGGGGTGGGTCAAGCTTTTAGGTATCAATCTGATTTAAGTATATGCATGCATTTGTTTAATAAAAGTAAGTTTTGACTTTTAAAAATGGTAGACAAGTAGTGAAGAATTGGAAACAGTATGTTTAATTCAATCTCTTCATCTTCACCTGGCTCATTTGTCCTTGTCCTTCAGGCCCGAGAAGCCTTTCCTGACCACCCTCCCCACATTAGGCTAGATGTCCTACTGTGTGCTGCCACAGCACCCTGCATTTTCCACGGCGTGCACCTTGTTATATTTGACTCTGTTTGCTAAATTGCTTTTTTCCATGTCCATACTGTGAGTTCCCTGTGGGAAGGGACTGCATCTGCGCTGCTCGGCACTGCGACTTCAGTGCCTAACACATTACCAGGGAAAGGAGAAAAATAAATACGTTTACCTTCCTTTCTGTCCACAAAGACTCTTCTCGTCTGGGAAATAAACTGATTTGATATTGCCTTCCTAACCTCGTCCACTGAAGCAGCCATTTTCCAAGGAAAGTAGCTCTTTACTGATGGCTTTGATGGACCTTGAGGAAGTGTCCAGGGAAAGAACCCCTATCAATACAAACACAAGTTTCAAGAAAATTCACATGGGTTCCCCTAACAGAGTGAAGAATATGCGTGTTTGTGTGAACATTTTCTTTTTGAGTCCTTTACACCCAGGGACCACTCTGCAGTTGCAGTGTATGCAGGAGCCTGTCCACAGGAGCCATCAGTTTACCCAGCTGTAACCAGGGTACTTGGTCATTTCTTTAACTTTTCATGTAGACGACAAGAGAATGTGTTTGTGAAATCCAAAGAGTTGTGCCTCCCATCAGAAATCTCCGGACAAGACGAGAAGAGGAGAAGACCCATTTGAGTTCTAGCTCTGGCTACACACGCCCGAGAACAGAGAGAGCTGTGCTTCCCCTCAGAGCCCCGGGCCCTGAGAGACACCCTGGGTCACACGCAGAGGCCTCAGCAGCGTCCTGTAGGGTGGGGAGGGTGGGCCTTCTCTCCTCTTCACCTCCAAGGAGATGTTATGATTATCAAACTTGAACCCTCCAACACCTCTTTCCATCTTCTCTCTCCCTCAGGACCTTACTTCCTATTTCCCTGAGAAGATTGCTTCTTTTAAGCATCCTTGATCTCTTAATGGTGAAGTGCCCCAAGGTTTGATCCTCAAAGCTCTTCTATTTTCTAGCTTGATGATCTCATCCGGGCTCATTTTATTTCAACCACATCAGATGACTCCCAAATTTATCTTCAGCTTAGACTTCTCCTCTCAACTTAGATCCATATATGCAACTGGCTTCCTAAGATCTCCTATTGAAAGTTTACTGAAGACACCTCCAACGTCACATGCCCACAGAGCTGAATTCTTGAGAGTCCTACTAAGTCTAGAGTATTCCACATTTCAGTTAATGGCCACTCTCCTTCTAACTGTTTAGACCTAAATCCCTGGAGTGTTCCTTAGTCCATCTCTTTGCTTCACATCCCACATTCTAGACATCAGGAAACCTTATTTACCTACAAAATATATCCAGAGTCTGACCACTTATTCTTCCTACTGCTAACACCCTAGTCTAACACTAAAGCCGCCATCATTTATCTCCTAGATTATTGCGATAGGCTCCCGTCTAGTATCTCTGCTGCCATCTTTACTCTCTTGCAGTCTACTCTCAGCCGGGCTGATCCTCTTAAAACATCATCATGTGATTCCTCTTCTCAAAAGCCTGCAATGGCTCCTCATTTCTTTTATAGTAAAAGTCATAAAAGTCATAGTTCTTGGGGCCAGCCTCGTGCCTGTGTGGTTAGATCCATGTACTCCACTTTGGTGGCCTGGGTACATGGGTTCAGATCCCAGGTGTAGACTCCACTCATCAGCCATCCAACTGAATCAGCTGCAGGGGCTCACGAGCACTGGTCAAGTCCTGACCTGCCTCCAGCCCGTTTCCACCCAACTGCCCACACCTTGACGTGTTACAGTTGCTGCAGACATCAGCCCTCGTTTTCCACTGCTCTTTCTCTGCAGGAGCCCCAAACCACCAGTCCGCATTTGAACTCCCAGGGCGATACTCCTCCTCTGTTCCTTAGTGGCAGATCCTCCCTGTTAGCAGAGTGGGAGCACCATGCTAGTGTCATCCCAGTCCAGGCCCTGAGCCACCCTCAAAACTGTTTAACAGAAAACAAAATAAATGGCAGAAATAAAGGCCTCAGGAGAGCAAACAAGGCAGCACACCCTCAACTCAGGCTGACAGGAAGGTCACTTGTGTGCTGGGAGGGTCTGCAGTCTGGCATGGGAGCACTCATTGGCTGAGAGTGCACAGGGCAGTCAGCCACTCCAGCTCTCATTGGCTGAGAGAGCACAGAACACCTTACCACACTGGCTCTCATTGGCTGAGAGAGCACAGAACACCTTACCACACTGGCTCTCATTGGCTGAGAGAGCACAGAACACCTTACCACACTGGCTCTCATTGGCTGAGAGCCTTCAATAACAAAGGGAAAATAAATGCTGTGTGTGTGTATGTGTATGTATCTGTACACATATACAATATAATATTGTAACTGACTATTTTACATTAACCTTAAAATCTTAAAGAAAATATTTAAGAGGTAAATAGATTATAATGAATGGGTGCCGTGAGGAACCAGATTAAATGGGGTATGAGTGTTTGTTCTAATGACCCCAAAGTCTGGGTCTACAGCTCACCTCTTCCACACGAGCTCCAGGTCTGTATAGTCAACTGCCTGTTGAACATATCCTCAACCAACATGTTTTCAACTGAACTCACATTTTCCCCTATGCCCTTCCTCACCAAACCTGGTCCTTTTCCATGTTCCAGCTCAGTAAACAGCATCAGCAAACATCTAGCCATCCAAGTCAAAAACAGGAACACCATCCTTCATTCTTTCTTCTTTCTTGTCTTTTACATCCTTTCAGTCATCAAATCCTGTCCATTCTACTGCCTTATTTTCTATTGAAGTCATCCAGGTGGCTCCATTCCAGGTGGCACCATTTCAGGTGGCATTCAAGTAAATGAAAGCCTTTACTACAATTAGGCATTGCCTTTTGTGATGGGAGAAGGGTATACATTGTCAAGAAAACAGAGGGAGGGTCAGTTACATCCATCCAGAGGAGAAGGAAATTAGCGATGGATCTCTTTAAGCTGAGCTTTGAAGAATCCATGAGTTTTCTCGGTGCACAGGAGAAGGGCATACTAGATAAAGTCCACAAAATGATAAAAGGTCTGTTGGCTTGAGAATGCATAATATCAAACACAAATACTTGCATATGCCTGTTCATAGCAGCATTATTCTTAATAGCCAAAAGGTGAAAACCAACCAAATGTCCATCAATGGATAAACAAATTGTGGTATATACTTACAATAGAATATTATTCAACAATAAAAAGGAATGAAGTACTGATAGATGCTACAATGTGCGTGAACATCAAAAACATTATGCTAAGGGAAAGAAGCCAGACACAAAAGGTCACATATTGTATGATTCCACATATAAAGTGTTCAGAATAGGTCATCCATAGAGATAGAAAGCAGACTGGTAGTTGCCAGAGGCTAAGGAAGAGGGAAACAGGAAGTAATTTCTTAATAGCTGTAGGGCTTCCTTTTGGGATGATGGAAATATTTTGGAATGAGATAGAGGTGGTGTCTGCAAAACATGATGAATGTACTAATTGCCAGTGAATTGTTCATGTTAAAGTGGTTAATTTTATGCTATGTGAATTTCACTTTGAGTTTTAAAAATTTTAAACGAATTTAGGGGATAAGGGAGAGGTAGTTAGAAACAAAAGTGAGGTGAGCAAAAAAAAACAGTCTAAGAAGGACCATTAACTGTAGATGATGAAGGATCTTCTGGATATATTCAAACTCTAGTTCTTATGGATTATTGATACAGTATTAAATTCAACAGATATGTAGATGTCATCTTACTTGAGTGGGGTAATATTTGTGGCTCCCAATTCCTCTTGAAGTGCCAGTTCTCATCAAATCTTCTCTGGAATATGCTTTCCAGACATACTCATCATTGTACTGTGTCTGGTTGGGAATAGGATCACTAAGTGAATACGTATATCCTAATCTTCTGATACTTTTCTGACTACAAGAAAAGATATTGGAAATTAGAGTAAGAGGTTAAATACCAAATCTCACAGTTGTACATACGTCAAATAATTTTACTCATTACATTCTTCTAAAGATTGGCTGGCTTAAGACTTGATGCCAGAAATCATGTAATTTCCAGATTCCCCTGAAAAGAAACAATCCTGTATCTTAGGATGGCTCTTAGCAAAAGTATGGGAGACTTAAAATGAAATTTAAAAGAATAACAATCTGAAATTCATTAATTTTTTTAATTAATTTTTGAAAGAGCTGAGCACTGTCCTGTATAAACAGTACTTCAGTGTAACCACACAGTCGGTGAAGAAAAGTTTCTCTCTACAGAAGTAAAGAAAGAATTAGGATAGCATTGGTTTGCAAGTCCCTAAAGAAAGAATGCATCAAGGTAATGATCAACAGTTCCCACTCACAGCTCGAAGTGGGACCACCAGATATCATGTGCTCAGGATGGACATACACAGCACCACCCATTAAATATTTTTGCCAAAATACCCAAGATGAATCAGATGAAGTCTTTGGAATGTCAGATTATGGGAAATACACGAAAAGAGAAATATTTTAAATGACATGATGGGGATGAAATCAGAACAATGATCTGTTTCTTCAACAAAGAAATTCTCAGGAAAAAAAAAAAAAAAAGAGGGGAACCTGTAGTTTAAATGAAGTAAGAGATAAAATAACCAAATGCAGTGGGTAGACATTGTTTGGATCCAATTTCGCACCAGTTGGTGGGTTTTTAGTTAACAGACAATTGGGAAGACTTCTTCATTGCTGATTGGCAGTATTTGATATTAAGGAATTTTCTTAGGTGAGATCATGGCATCGTTACGTTTTTGTTTTTTTTTTTTAAAGATTTTATTTTTTCCTTTTTCTCCCCAAAGCCCCCCGGTACATAGTTGTATATTTCTTTGTGGGTCCTTCTAGTTGTGGCATGTGGGACGCTGCCTCAGCGTGGTCTGACGAGCAGCGCCATGTCCGCGCCCAGGATTCGAACCAATGAAACACTGGGCCGCTTGCAGCGGAGCGCGCGAACTTAACCACTCGGCCACGGGGCCAACCCCATCATCGTTACGTATTTTTAAAGAGTCTTTATCACTTAAAGATAAGGAAAAAGCAGTTAGAATTGAAATAATGCATAATGCCTGGAATTTGTTTCAACATCGTCCAATGGGAAGGCTGGTGCAGCCTACGGCAAACAAGTGCCTAAAAGTGTTGATTATCGAAGCTGAGTGATACCTGGAGATTCACTGTATATTCCTTTGTGTATACCTAAAATATTTCATATTGGCTTTTTTAAAAAAGAGGGCTGGGTTAGATGCAGGTTATGTATGTAAGAGTCTACCAACCATCTGGAAAGTGGGATCCATCTGACTGATGGACTATTTTACTTGCCATTCAGGGTCAAGTGGGACTGAGGTCCTAAATCAAACTGAATAATCAAAGGTACATGAAGATTTTCCAAAGGGACCGCAGCACAGAGAGCTTTAAAGGAATTGACTTTCGTGTCTCCGTTCCTCAGTACACTTTCCTATCATGTGCCTGCCTGAGAACAAGCCATCTGCTCATCCTTTCCTCCCACGGCCCTTCCTCCCCTCCCCACTTCACCACAAGATCTTACTAAGGTGCAGCACACCTCGGAGTGTAAGCCTCCGACCGTGAGACGGTGCCCAGCGGAGGGAGACCTTGTTATAGTGATGCAGGGGAAGCCGACTTGTAATCCAACCTCCATACACTTGCCGGGGCGTCTCATGCACGCTCCTGACAGAGAGAAGGAGGCGCCGTAACCAGAGCGTTTCGGCCTGCGTGGCGATGTTCTGAATTTAGCTACATTGTACAGTGGCATGGCTGAGAGTAACGTCCAGTTTTTCATCCGCTAACAATCATAAAATGTTCACCCCTCTTTAGAGAGAAGCCTCTTGAGAGGAGCACAGAGACTAGAGAAGGCTTCAGTTGGCTCTTTTGCCCACATTTAGAGGTAAGCATTTTTTCAGCTTTTTTTAATCCCTAAGAGATGTCATTAACTGCAAAGAAAAGCATCTCTGAGTAGATGAAGCAGTACAGAGTGGAGATGCTGATTCTTCTCAATATAACTGGGATCCTTTCAGAAACTACCAAATTTTTAAAGATTCACTGGATAAAACTGGTACATAAAAATGTTGCGATTTTTTTTTTCAGATTTTGTATTCATCATTTAATCAGGTATTTAAATCTTATTTTTTAACCATATCATATTGTGAAATATTTACTCCAATACAGCTGGTCCTCATTTTATTTTATGTTGTAAAATATTAACAATACATGGAAGTATATACTGGCTTGCCAGACCAATTAATTCCTACCATATGTAACTTTCTCTTTCAGTAAATTCATAGCAAATGCTTGATCTGGTGTCTAAAGAAGTCAATGAAACTGTTTCTGATTTTTATACTTAATTATTATTTAATTATTTGCAAAAGTCAAGCACCAGAGTTCTACATACATGAGAACATATTTAACCAAGGAACATCATATTTTTTTATCCTACTCCTCACTTCACAGATAACTTACACGTTTAGCTACACATTTCATTGCATTTTTTTTAAGTTGAGGTTATGACAGTTTACAACTTTGTGAAATTTCAGTTGTACATTATTATTTGTCAGTCGTATTACAGGTACACCCCTTCACCGTGTGTGCCCACTCCCCATCCCACTTTCCCCTGGTAACCACTAATCTTTTCTCATTGTCCATGTGTTTGTTTATCTTCCACATATGAGTGAAGTCATACAGGGTTTGTCTTTCTCTATCTGGCTTATTTCGCTTAACATAATACCCTCAAGGTCCATCCATTTTGCTGTGAATGAGACAATGTTATCCTTTTTTATGGCTGAGTAGTATTCCATCGTATATACATGCCACATCTTCTTTATCCAGTCATCAGTCAGTGGGAACTTAAGTTGCTTCCACATCTTGACTATTGTGAACAATGCTTCACTGCATTATTTTTATTACTTGGATATAATTGATTTATTAGACCTGAATCTTTTTATATTTCCCTGTCTACTTTTAATAATCTTCTCTAAAATATGCATTCTGTAATTTATCAAGTTTTCGTAATATGCCTTAAAACATATGTTAACATTTATTTGAACTAGAAGTGCAGTCAGATTTTATTTTGACAAGAAGTAACCTAATTTTGCTTTTTGGCTTGACAAGGACTGATTTTACCAACTAGGTAAACATGGTGTAAATTGTATGAGTTAAATTTTCAGCTCCACGATTTTGATAAAAATATATTTAAATTATGTGATGATAAAAACCTTTTATTTTAAAAAAAGATTGCATTGGAAAACACTTATTGAAATTAATGTTCCTACTTGCTAAGTTCTTTTTGAGTATATAATATTAAACAAATTTCCTCTAAGTGAAAGAGTAACAGATGTAATTTAATAGTCATTTGTTAAGACATGCCTTTTCAGTATACTTCTCAGAAAATGAGAGTGAATAACTCAATAACTGGATGACAAATCATCTAATTATTTTCTTTCAATAAAATTGAAGGAGTACACAACCAAGTTGTTAGTCAATCAATCATTAAAAGTCATCGTGTGATTTTTGGCATGTAACTCAGACAGAGTTCAGAGAACTGAATGGCAATGCTACACTAAGACTGCTTTCATTCACGTCTGCTTATTATGTGAACTAAGTTTCTCAACACTACATCTATAAATTGGAAAAAAAAAGCAGAAAAAAATTGATGCTGAATGCAGTCTTATTTCAAAAAGATAACACTCAAAACTAGATACATAAACTAATTGAAAACAAAACCTCCCCATTTATCTCATTAAGATGCAGTTCCAAAAAATACTTTTCATATTTAGTAATTATTAACATTTGTAATGTGTTTATTGCTTTGAGCAATTGCATACTAAAAACAATTGTCATAACTCAATACTTAGGGCCTAATGTTTAAAAATTAATTTCAATTAATATACTAAAGTTGTTGCAAAGAAGTATAATGCAGTGATCAATAAACTGCTTTCAAACACAAAATATATTACAGCAGGGTAAAATTCTATGGAGGAAGTGGGGTAGAAATAAGAGTTCAAAAAGGAAAAGGGATGAAATCAATCGTCTATTAAAGAGCTTGTGTGTGTATTTTTTAAAAGATGACAGGGTGTGTGAATTTGCTAAGATGTTTAGATTACCCATTGAATATATTCAAAGGCATGACAACAGTTTTATTTTAAAATGTCAATATTTAGGATGGGCTGGAAGTTTTATTTTTTGCAACTATGTAAATTTATGATGGAAAGTTTTCTGTAAACTTAAAAATTATGTGAATTTGAAGGCCACTGACCTACACTCTGTTAGTATCCATTTGTTTTTGGCTTTCATCCCAAATGTTTCTTCTCCAGACAACTGTTACAGTCTGGGAAGCTGGCATAATCATTGCTGTCAGATGATAAATCTCCAAGTTAAGGACATAACGTGACTCAGTGGGACAGCCAATAACTCGGAAATCAGGAGTCTTGCAGCCCTGCACTTTTTGGAAGTATGTCATATATAATGCTGGGGGGAAATGAATGAAAATTTTTTGAGTAATTTCTTGGTGCTAGTCACTGTACTAGTCTTTCATTCTGTCCTCAGAACAACCACCAACCATAAGACTGAGCCACAGATGGCTTGTCACTTGCCTGGCAGAGACAATAAGGATTAGAGCAGGAGCTGGGTTAGAACCCATTTCCGCCTGACTCCACAGCCACAGTCTTGCCAATACTCCATTTGACTTCTCAACAATTTGAACTCTTAAGGTGAAAGGATCCTCTCTACTGGAAACAATTTACAGAGTAAAGACAGTCATGGGAAGGTTCTCCATGCTGACTTCTCCCCCTACCATTGATGCAATGAAAGATGACAGGGCTTTCCTAACGCCACTCTCAACTACCCACCATGAGCCTAGAGAAGCAGGTGAGGGATAGAAATGCCCACCACCCTCAGGTCAGGCGGAGTTGGAGGAGAAGGTGCAAGCCAACATTGCTTTAGGAAGCAATAACTGGAGGAGTGGAGGTAAGGTCAGGGACTGTGGCTTCCTCAGCTTACAAGACGGGTGTTGATGATGGAAGTGCCCACAATTCTTCGTTCATCCATTCATTCAATTGTCATTCCCTACTGGAGATCAGGTAATGGATTCAGTTCATACTTAGTGTTTAGGTAGCACAATTCTATGAACCTATATATTGGCTCTATTGTAAACTACGACACACAGTGACTTTGTAAAGGATCCATGTGTCAGTTTTCTTAGTCTTCCTGCTGGAGGTTTGGACACTGTTTGAAGAGGGGAGCCCTCTCTGACACCTGGAGGAGACCTGTGCATGCAACGGCTCCTACCCGAGTGCATTTTCATAAGCTTTCTCTGATTACTCTTTCCATTTGTTTTGAATTCTGAATAACAGTAGACAAGTGAACAACTTAAGGTGTGTATCTCAGTGTGGCTCCAGTAGGGACGTACCGAATTAAAGCGGGTGCTGCTCCTGTCTTAGGTGTGAACGCAGTCTTCATCGTGGTCGCGTAGGAGTCCCAGCTGGTGTTGCCTGCTGGGAGTACAATAAAGCAGTTTTAAATGTGTCAAACCAGCATATCTTGATCGAATGTTGCTTTAAATAATTAAATAATTGTGTAACAGAAAAGCATTTTGGATAGCAATTTAGAGTTTAAAGGAATAAAGTCCAACTTGTAGCCTCTACTAAAAGGGGAAACTCAATTTAATTATCTGAGTTTCCCCCCCAAATAAAAATAGGTCTATTGTTTTTCTTGAGAATTCATAATGCTATTTTAAAGAGTTCAGCAATACATAAAGATATAAAGCAGAAAGTTCATTTGAAATTCTATCATCTTAAGATGCTGTTACAGTTTCAGACACCAACTTTTCATGCATCATTATTAGATAGACTTGTAAACACATGAAATGATTTCACAAAGGGCTCCTAAGTTACATGTCAGGTTTTCTCCTGGACACCTTCTCCTTGCTCCTTCCTCTCTCTGCCCTGTATCACCCTCCCCGCCACCCCTCCTCCCAGGCAGCCTATGTTAACAATTGTGCCTATTCTTTTCCAGACTTTTATACTTGCTGATATAATCGGATACAGGTTTATCTATACAGATATAAATACATTGACATATTGGGTTTTAGTTCCTTCCATTTTGTTTAACAAAAATGGGCTCATATTATACAAAGTGTCCTTTTTCCTGTCACTTAGAGTTGTCTGGGAAACCCCTCGGACTCATCTGGTGTAGCTCTAATTCATTGTTTGTAACGACTGCACGATTCTGTAGTGTAGATGTTACTTCAAGCTATGAGAGCAGGTGAGATCAACAAGGAAGGGAGCATAGTTAGCGGAGGCGAAGTCCGAAGGCTGAAGCCTGGGGCACCCCAATACCAAGAGGCGATGCGGAGGACCAGGGAAGGAGGCTGAGGAGAGCAGTCAATGAGGTGAGAGGAAACCAGGAGCATGTGTGTCCTGAAAGCCAAAGGGAGGAGATGCTCCCAGGAGGAGGGAGGGGCCACCTATGGCAACGCTGCTGGGGGTCCCGGAGGATGAACACTGAGAATCAGCCATTGGGCAGACACAACAACAGACTTTATCCGCCCCAACATGCCATTGTCAACAAAGTGCCACCAAACTTCTTGGGGATATATTTTAAATTTAATTCAATCATTCTCTCATTTTTCATATCTGGGCAGTTACCTGTGGCTTTTCACATTTCACTAGAATCTGGGTTGAAATGATCCCTTTAATGTTTGAATAAACTGCTGGATGGGGTCCATCGCCTCCCCTCTAGAACACTGCAGCCACCTCATTGCCTGAGTTTGTTCCTGCTCAGGCATCCTGAATACAAGTGCTGTGAAGTATCTTTCTCAAATGCATCTTGAATTTCCAAAGAGTCTTAAGATCTCTAGGCCACTGCTCAGTATATAGAGCCTGACCCAACATTTCGTTTTTGCCATCTGTGTACTTCCTGCTGTTCATCTCCCTGTCTCTCCCAACTAGGTATTGTTTTTAATTTAAGAGAACCTTGGACCCAGCCATGCAGTTGGATCTGCTCGTCTGTGGCTGTTTACCGGCTGCCTCCCACTGGTTGTGTTTCACCTCCACCTCAAGCCATCTCCAGTCTAACCAAAGCCTCAGCCCCTGCACGTTGCTCTCTGTGCTCTACTTACGCAGACTCCTGGTGTCTACGCTCTGATCCCACTCTACGAGAAATGACATTATCCTTGATACCCCTGCTTAGTGGGAATCACTTTAAGCTTTAAAGCTTTTTATCCCAATAGCAGAAATAAATGTCCTTTCTAAAGAGAATTTCAAGCAGTGACAAGTAAGTGGGAAGAAATTGTGAGGCAGTGCTGCTCTTAAAAGAAGCCTTCATTTAACCTGATTTAACCTGTGTTTGACTCTTGGAAGAATCAGGAAGGATCCACTGCACAGAGACTGCACATCACTTCCCTCTCTTTTTCCTAAGGCAAACAGCACTGACCTAGGCTGGCTCACTTTCCTGTTAGGTGCAGACATGTCTCCAAAACCCTGGCAAAACAGCACTCCAGGCAGCATCTCCCATGGCAGAGAGCAAGATGCACTTCTGGGTGTCCCTGTCTGTGGTCTTTCCCCGTCTGAGGACAGGCTGGGGCTGGCAGCCTTCTGTTGCGAAGAGCCTATTCCAGAAGGTGGCAGGTGCAGGAGCGGCATGCCCAGCTGCTTCTAGGGCCTGAGACCAAGCGTACCCCCTCTCCCTAAGTCTAACGCACTGGGATGGCTAAAATGATGCACACTCCATTTCCAGCACATCTCTCTTGAATTTAGTGTTTAATGGTTTTTCCTAGAATTCTTTTTGTCAGAACTGTATTTATATGCTTTTTACTTCCATTGACAAAGCTTCCAAAAATAACATGCTGTTAGAATTAATCCTCTTCATTAACATAAATATTAATTTTAAATTTATAATCTTAATATTCTAAAAATCTGCTTCCAGTGTGTGTCGCTGCTTTCTTTTGCCTTTATTCTTGGTATGTAAGTATCTCAGGGTCTTTCTCTGTAACTGCCTGATAATCTCTCCTGTGATTCTGTCTTCCTGACTGTTTTTCCTTTTCTCATTCTCTGTTCACTTAACAGTAAACCCTGAATTCCACCCCTCCGTGGGCCAAGCCCCGTGCTAGGCAGTGGGACATAGAGACCCTGTCCAATATATCAAATATCCAATGAGCACAAGTTTACAGATGGGCTGATGTCCTGTGTGTCATAGCAAGACCGAGGAGGTGTGATTCTCACTGCTTAGATGAGAGGAGGGCCAGCAAGGTGGGGTCCAGGAGGAACTTCATAGAATAGCTGGTATCTGAGCTGGGACTTAATTTAGTAGGACTGTACGGGGAAGCGCAGGACGACATGGAGGGAAGCACTTTGCTGAGGACGTAGTGTGGGATTTGAAAGTCTGAGAGGCGACAAGCGGCCCAGTGTGAGGGAAGGGAGGGAGAAACGGCTGACCACAGGTCGGTGAAGCCTTGTGTCCTGTGCTACAAGCTTGAGCTTTATTCTGCTAACCTTGGTGACCCCCGGAGGCATTCACAATTGTGAAAACTCATTATAAAGTTTTGAGAATATTATAAAATAGAAGCTAACGTGTATACTATATTACACTTTACAAAGTATTTCCACATATGTTATCTCATCTTATTCTCAAAATACTCTGACAGATAAGGCAGGTATTAATAGTAGCTAATAATTCTAACTTCACATTTTTGTCGTGAGGATTAAAGGAAAGGATAAATTTAAAGCATTTATAGTAGGCTGAGTGGGACCCCGAAAGACATGTCCATGTCCTAATCCCAGAAGCTGTGAATGGGACCTTATTTGGACAAAGGGTCTTTGCAGATGCAGGTGAGGATCTTGAGATGAGGAGACCACACTGGATTCTCCAGTGGGCCCTAAATTTAATTTTAACGTCCTTATAAGAGATTAGAGGTGGAGGGAGATTGAACAAAGAAGAGGAGAAGTGACATGACCATGGAGACGGAGACTGGAGTGATGAGGCCACAGTCAAGAATGCCGTCAGCTACCAGAAGCTGGAAGACGCAAGGAGGTCTCTCCCCCAGAGCCACCAGAGGGAGTGCAGCCATGCCAACACCTTGATGTTGGGCTTCTGGCCTCCAGAATGCGAGGAAGCAAATTTCTGTTGTTTTCAGCCACCAGGTGGCTTTGCAGTTATTTACAGCAGTCCTTGGAACGAATACAACACTTAAGCACCCCAGGCTACAGCAAGAGTTCAATAGCAGTTAGCTGATAGTAGTCATCATCAACCTCATCCTACTTTTGGACCAAAGCTGGCGAGTGACACATCAGGCCCTCCTTTTGAAGGGTGACACTGGTAGCAGTGGAGGATAGAGTAGCACAGAGTGGCTATTAGAGACCAAGATGGGATGTGAAGAGGCCAACTCACCAGGGAAGGGGAGCGTCAGAGGCAGAATCAATGAGACCTGGTGTCACTGAAGCTGCCCTCCCTCCTACTTTGTGAGGCTGGGACCCTCCTAACTGCCCCAAAGTCTAGGAGGACAAGGAGTGTAATTATGTCCATGCTGAGGTTGAGGTCCTTCTGTGACATCCAGACGGATCTGGTAGACAGTTGGATATTTTGGTCTGACGGTTAGGAGGAACCTCTGAGTTAGAGTAAAGATCAGAGAGCCGTTGGCACTTTTATATAGACGTAAAGCCCTGTGGCACGAGGCGGCCCCTTACATAGAGGATGTAAACTGAGAAGGATGAATCTTGGAGGACCCTAGCATGTCCCAGACTAGAAGAGACAGGGTGGCTAGAAAGGGGGAGGAGACTCAACAGGTGGGAGAAAGGGATTCTGGGGCAGAGGCTCTCTCCCCTCACTCTCCGCCTTGCCCTACCAACATACAGAAACTGGGTGTTTTCAATATTTTTTGTACTAATTAAGTATTTTCATTTTCTATCCTTAATTTACAAAGTAAATGGAATGAAAATACCCATTTCATTCATTCTTGTGGGACTACAATTCTAGGGAATCTGTAGTTGAACAATCCCCACTGCTCTGTAGCCACCGTGGAACCACAATTACCCAGCTAGACGGCTGCAGTGGGTTATTAGTGCCATGAGAAAAGCCAAGAAGGAGCTGACTGCACAGTAATCAGCCACAGCATCACAGCTAGAGTGGCTCTCCCTGCACTGACACAAAAAGCTGAGTTGGTAAACCTGCTGCATTTGCATGCAAAATTAGTATTAATCGCGCTACATCTGTTAAATACAAAATCACTTTGAAAGAAAAATCAGCAAAGGTTAGACACGACAGCTGAATGCCACAGATCCAGCCTCTGCGACAGGCGGCTGGGGCGCGCTGCCTCTGCAGATGCACTTGGGGCTCGTTTCTCAGTGTTCTGCACCTCCCCACTCGGCTGGATCTGCTCTCTTCAGAGCTTCACGACCTCTCTTCCTTGTCTCTGGCCTTGTTCTCCTGGAAAGGCACTGCTCCTTCCTTTTTCTTGTCCTCTCCCAGCCAAGCATTTTATGGGTGTTTAAAAGCACCTGAGCGTTTTAGCGAGGGGTTTGGCAGAAAGGATGGCAAAGGGCCGGAAAGGGACAAGGTCATGAACACCCCTTCATTCTGCGTGACTCCCAGCCTCTCCTTAAATTGAGTCCCGCCCATAAGAGGAAGGCAGACACCCTGGAGGATCGAAGCAGCCTTGGCTCTGGCGTGCTCCATCTGCGGGAGAGACCCCTCCCCCGCCCCCTGCCAGCTGGGAGCGCCGCAGTCTTACTGGGCCGGATCTTGTGGCCGTCTTGAGAGGGGCCCAGAGCCTCGAGCTCAGGCTGTGCCATTCTTGCCCGAAGAGGCAGTCGCTGGTTCTCCTTCTCCACCAGGACAGGACGCCGCTGCAGGCAGCGCGGCTGCTTTGTGACGCGTCGCCATGGAGACGCGGGTCACTTCCCCGCAGTCAAACCCGGGCCACGTCTGCGGGCGTAGGGCGCTCACGCAGGCTGGCTGGGGACGGCGCGCGGAGAGCGAGATGTCTCCTACTTAACTTTCATGTATTTGTATAGTTCTTGCAATGAGCCTTCCTGAGCATTGTTTTGTGTATTTAGGAGAGGAGCAAAACGAGGAGTAGATTGAAGAGAAAGTATTGTCAGATTTTTCAACCGCAAATTTTCACCTGTTCATGACTTGCAGCTTAAGCAAATGTGGGCAAGGTTTTCATGGATCTTGCAGTAATTAGGAACCAAGCAAGAGGACAAAATCACAAGTCATTTTGTGTAAGAACTAGAACCAGAGTTTCTGAGAGAGTTTCATGCTACCAGACTGGTCATCGGGACACAGGAATTAGGAGAGGGCAGCAGGGTGAAAAGCATGCTTGGAATCAGGAGTGGGCAGGGGTGTTTGTGATTCCTTTCTCCTGACCAGGCCATGTTCCTGGCACCAACCATCGTGTTTTGTGATTGTTGATTTAATTATTCAGATTAAACCGTGTCTCTTGTCCACATGTCTGTTAGAGTTCTCACAGGATATGGAGGGTCTTTTATCTTCATGTTCTGGCACCTGCCTGGCAGCTTGACATATAGTAGATGCTTAATGATGTTGAATGCCTCCAGGTTAGGATACAGCCGTTACCCAGCTGGGTGCAAAGAGAATGCAGAAAGCATAGGGTGGAGACTGTGGGTAACATGCTTAGAAAGCAGTTACAGCCATTCCTTATCTTTTAGAGCAGTTCTGCTAACATAGGCCCTTAGGTGAACCACTGATGGAGCATGACAAAGGGGAGTTTGTCAGAGGAGACAGAATAAGCAGCAGAGGAAGGATCCCAAGTACATGGGCGTGGAATTTCTTTAAAATGAAGAGCCAAACTAGAATTTTCTGAGCGTAGATTCCTACCCACATAATGGGAATGAACATAACACATTTTAGATTCCCAAATTGTAAGGCAATGAATGGTAGGACACGTTAGAAGGCATAGACTTCTGTCAATGCTATTAAAAGGAATAAATCTAAATTAGGATTTAGTAGTGGCATCCAAATTAAGGAAAGTAACACCCAATAACAGATTACTGTCTGGAAATGGTAGAGCTAATTAGCATAGCCTAATTTAAGAGAAATATATTTTTAAAGTAAAGCAGTGAGTATGTATATAGAATTTTAAAAGTGAGTTCTTATTAATGTCTTACATTCATCTCATCTTAGGCAAGCTGTGAATTGGTGGGGTGCGCACTGAATCGAGAGCCAGATCTCTTTTTACCTTCTACCCGGGGGCCCTTGGGGTAAGGCGATAGCTTCCTTATCTGTAAAATGAGTATATAGTACCCACCTCGCTGTGCTGTAAAGATTAATAGTTTGAACGATAATTTATAAATTGTAAAGCCACACAAACCTAGGATATTGCTCTTCCGTCCCATTGCTATTCTGATCTTGATTCTTTTTATAGTCTTTCATTTCTGCTTCAAAGTGGATTTTTGGTGCGGATCCATGTTATTGTGAGCAGTACAGCACGGTTCTTGCCTCTGAATTTGAGTCACTGGTGGCAACCCCTTTCAATGATTAAGTGGAAGTTTTTTTCCTTTCTTCTGTCCCTCCACAAACACTGAGCTGGATGATAACATATTAAGGGCAATGCCTTGGGAATTATGGTAGCTTGGGGAGGTGGTGCTGGAAGAGGAAATGCCCGAGCTGAGTTCTCAAGGATGCCTGGGAGGCAACCAGGTAAAGAGGCAGAGGGGCCACAGGCCAAGCACGGGCCCAGCAGGCATGGAACAGCCCCTGTGCTCCAGAGCCCGTGAGAACGTGGTATTGCCCTGTAGTGAAGGGTGGGGGGAGGCTGAGAGACGGTGGGAGCAGAAGGCCCTGCAGCCATGCTGAGAGCTTGGAATTCACTTGAGCACAAGGAGAGTTTGCTGGAGCGGGTTCAACAACAGAGCGAAGGACTCAGATGGGAAGTCTGTAAATCCTGGCCTCTTTTTCCAGGAGTAAGAGAAGCAAGTTTCCGTATCATCTGCCAGAACAGGTTAACCATACAGAAATTAAGAGGTCTAGGTTACTATATGCCTTTCACAGAGTTTTTAATTGATCAAAAACAATTGAGAGTAGTTGTATTGAATGGGTTAAATGTTAATTGGTTGTTTCCAATTTAAATTATTACAGTAAATTTCTTTCTGCACACACATACACATACGTACAAAGGGAACAGGCTGTGAAGTATAAAGACAGGGGTGGGTGGGTGGTGGAGGGAGGAAACAGCAAGCACAGGACACTCAAATTTTGGCTGAGAAGGAGAAGAAAGTCTCTAGCTGGTGGAGAGGGCGTGGGTCACATAGAGAATTATTACTTAAAATGAGAGAAGAGTAACCTAGTTCACAGGCCAGGGTAAGGAGCAGGGAGAGGGAGCTGATGCTACAGGAGAGAGCAGGTAGGGCCCAGGCCTGGAGAAGACAGGGGCGCTAGCACTCTGCTCCTCAGACTGACGGCACCGCCGACACCTGGGCATCTTGCGAGAACGTGGATTCTGATTCCAGCAGGGTCTGAGCTTCTGCATTTCTAACAAGATCCACAGGTGATTCGTAAAGTTTAAGATGGACAGATCTAGAGCCTTGTCCCAGGACCAGCAGTCTCAGCATCACCAGGGAGCTTGCTAGAAACACAGAAGCTCAGGCTCTACCCAGACCTACTGAATCAAAATCTACAGCTTAACAAGGCATCCAAGAGGTTCCTAGGCACATTGGAGTTTGAGAAGCCCTGCTCCAGGTAGTGTGAGAGGCAAGGCTGTCTCCTGAAGGAGAGGGAGAATGGGAAAGCGTTGATGGGAGAATTAAAGAGCAAGCCAGTGAAGGACGTGTAACAAGCCTTGGCAGGTGGCTGCTTCCAAAAGCCCAGAAGAGGTCTCAGTCTACAGCGATGCCCAAGTATTTTGGATACAAATATTCTGAGTGAAGCTTCTCTGGCTTGGCTTTTATATTTGGACAAAGGACTTTCTTTTACTCTGTAGTATGTAATGCTTTTATTCAAGTGTCTTTGTGTAAAAAAACCAGAATATTGCTTTTTCTTCTTTATTTTAGCTGACTGATTAACTCATAAAACATTTTCTCAATTTCTGTGATGGACTCTATTATTCAGAGTTCTCTAGAGAACCAGAACCAACAGAGGGAGAGAGAAAAAGAGAGAGAGAGAGGATGTATGCATAGAGAGAGGGAGAGAGATTTATTGTAAGGAATTGGCTCACACAATTGTGGAGTCTAGCAAGTCCAAAATGGCAGGGTGGGCTAGCAGGTTGGAAGCCCAGGGCAGAGCCAGTGTTGAGGTTCAAGTCCAAAGGCCATCTGTGCGAAATTCCCTCTTGCTCAGGCAAGAGTAGTCTTTTGTTCTACTCAGGCCTTCAACTAATGGGAGAGACCCACTCACATAGTGGACGGGAATTTGCTTTACTCAAGGTCCAGCAATTTAAACATTAATCTCATCCAAAAACGACCTCATAGAAACATCCAGAACGATGTTTGACCAAATATCTGGACAGACGGAGATCTTCCTGAGGTCCTCTAGTTCGTGTCTGCCACTAAGAGGGGTTGTGGTTAAGCAGTCCAAAAAGGATTGCTATCTATTTATTGAAAAGTCCAGAAAAGAAAATCCTATAATATTCTCTATTATCTTAGGAGAGTCCAGTTTAATGGGGTAAATTCTAAGCTCTAACTTGCCAGTCACCGAACTTACTTACATTTTACCCAAATAAAGCCAAAACAGCAAGTTCAGACTGTTAATTCTATCAAAACCTCATCAGTCCCATATAAATGTCACCTCTCTCCTGGGCCATCCATGTTCTCTCTGATCCTTGGGTTTTTCTTCTCTCTGAAACCTTAAGAAGTAAGCTGACCGAGTCAGTCGTTGGGTAATTACCAATGCCTTGTATGTTAGTTCTCTCAAGTGTATTCAAGGAGTGAATATCAAGTGTGAACACTCACTTTAAATCTGTTATACCAGCATTTATCCACCCAAATGAGTGCTCTTTTCTTCAAAGTAATAATTTATTCTAATGACACTGCCATTGCTTAAAGCATTTTTGAAATTCTTTAGAAACTCCCTTCAGAAACTGATACACATTCTTTTGAATTTCTCAAATAGGGGCATAACTTTGCTCTTTGAAGATAGATTGGGGATTTGAAACAGTAAAAAGACATTCGAGCTGATAATTAAGGTAGGCGATCAAGTTGGGCAATGTTATCCTTCAGCCAAAAATCAAACTATAACCATGAGGTAATGAGAAAGAAAACGTCCCTCATGCTGTAGATAATTTCTGGATTTGCATTCTAGTGGAATAAATTAACAGCCTCCAAGGTGACTCTTCCACTGGGAGCTTTGATAAATTGGTGGCTGGGATAAATCAATCCTTACATATTTGTTTTAAAGCTAAATTTCACAGTTAGACTTCATTAATTTGATCTCTAAACTGGATCATGCGCACCTTAGGTGTTCTTTTTGAGCTTCTCTAGTGGCACTTATTCTGTTGTTTTTATTCACTTGGACGTCTGCCTTCCTTACAAGACTGGAAGGTCCTTGAAAGCAAGAGCTGTGCTGTAGGCACCTTTATATACCAGTATCCACCTCAGTGTACTGCGCACAGTAGCCACTTAATCCTATGTGTTGAATGAATGAATGAACTGAATGAATGGACAGATTGCTTAGGTCTTTGTTGCCCTATAGATTTCTATTGATCTTAAACTGTTAAAATATCTGAATTAGGCCACATTTAGACCCAGATTGAGGCCTCTTTTACCAGGAAGATCCACCCCAATAGACTTTTCACCAATTTTAAAGATTGCCCAATATCACATCTTTGTGACATTTGCTAATAAAATACGTTAGCACAGTGTATATTTCCTTATAGGCAGTCGATAAGACTTTGCCGAGCGAATATTGAATGAGTGAACGCATTCAGTCTGAGTCAACTGGAAACGTTTTTAAAGATAAAAGAAACCTTCCAGATCTTTAGTCGATTCCTGAAATGATTGCTGATGGTTTTTCTCCACTCAATTACTTTCAGAAAATCTTCTCTGTCAATTTTTGTGACTAGAGTTTCTATTTCCTTAGGGAAGCATTTAATATTTGAGATCCACCTAAGGTTTCTTTGCACTGGTGTAAAACTTGTTTGATTGTTAATACTCTTCATTTCACACAGAGTCAAATAACAAATGATTATCCTCTTCTGTTATTAAAGAGCATTCCCCTTTTCAGAAAGATCAGTATCAAATTTTGTTTCTTTTCTCCAAACACTTCATAGACTTGTTCTTCAAAAGGCTCATCTTGAGAAAGTAGCTGTGAAAATCACAATTCTTATTGTGATTCAGTAAGTTACAAGGCAAATATCCCACCTGCAAACCACAGTGGACAGGTGGGTCCAAGGTAGGACCGAGGCATTAGGCCACAAATCTAATCGAGTCTACGTTGAATGTGAAGAAAAGTTTTAATTGCACAAAGATAGTACATAACGTTTCAAATATAAATGAAAGGACAATCAGTAGTGCTATCAAAATGTATAATACAGGAACATTTTTAAAAAGAATAGAAAAATTATACTTAGGACCTATAAATCTTCCTCATTATAAGCATATGCAGCAATTCATTCATGCAGGTTCTTATATGTAGATAGGATGATTTTTTTTTTCCTTTTTGAAGAATTCCATTGTAGCTATGGGATGAAAAATGTATTGATGTAACAATGTATTATGGTAATGTTATAGCTTTCTTCTATTTTGCTTTTAGTGTTAGGATTGCTAAAAGCTTATTTAAAATACCCAACTGACATAATGTGCTTTCAATAAAGAGGACACTGCCGTATACATTATCCTTCCTCGGTCACTGTTTGATACCACATCGCCTGGCCTCTTTCTACACAGGCCACTTTGTTAAGAGGGAGGCCAAGGGAGTTGAAATTTCAGGCAGTGGATGGCAGAGGTACCATCCTATCAACCTGACCAATCCTCCAACAGCCCTTACATCCAATGTTTCTCCTAAGGTATCCTATGGGCAGGATGAGGAACATGCTTGCCTTCCAGTGAAAGACATCCTTGGCTTTTCGCCCAGCCAGGTGTGCAAGAGATCAGCACTGCTAATCCCATGCTTGCTGGGTTTGAGTTCAGACAAGGATGTCCCAAGCGGAGGGCCAAACCCTGATTTATGAAGGTCAGATTGCTCCCGTAAGAGCTGCCAGGAAAACTCCCAGGACGCCAGGGTACTAAGCAAAGCACTCAGGGTAGCAGGACTCTGCCGCCCCCTCTGCCTCTTTGGAGAGGTGTTAAAAGGAGAGGATACCTCCCAGGCCATGAGGCCGAAGCCCCCCCATCCTGAAGTCAGCTGCAGCGGGCCTGCCAGGGCATCACCCACAGCCAAGGAAGACTCCAGGGAGGGGCAGAGGGATCGACAGGCAGGTGGAAGTGCCCGCCTCCCACCCCTGCTAGTCCCCTCGACCCTCAGTTCTGGCAGAGGCCTGGAGTGCAGGAGTAACTGCAAAATGTTCAGTCCAATCAGATACATTGGTTGGGTGTCTTCTCGGATTCCAGAACACTTGGAAATGGTAATTCTGCCAAAAGAGGCTCTGTCATAGATGATCTGGGTGACAGATTGCAGTTAAAAACTTCATCTATTGAACCTGAAAAAAAGTAAACAAGGCATGCATTATTAGCATCCCTGAGAAAACAAAAACGAAAACCCAACAGTGCCTTTAAAACTCACACGACATGCTAGGTAACCAATTCAATGATCAATAGAGAATCCTGGCTTCCTCAGAGACACTCAAACAGCTAAAGAGAAATGTGCTGCTTTCTGTTTGCCAGTACGACATGGGTGGTCGTTGGCTGTTCCATGGGCTGGAGTGGCTTTACAGGAAGCTGCACACACTCTTTCTCATTTCATGAACAAAGGCCCCGATCCAGGGAGTAGATGCCTAGGACAGAGGTCAGTTTTGGAGAATCAGGTGGAGCTGGGCTAACTGTGTCACCAGGGCGGAGCTGTGGAGGCCAGGCTCAGCCTGCCTGCCAAGGCAGCTGATGCAAGCCGGCTGCGCCATCTACAGTGCACACTGACTGACAGCTCAGGTCAGCCTAGAAGAATCCTTCCCCAGCACTCTACAGTGGAGGTGGCCCCAGGGCTGGCTGAGGGTAAACCTGAAAGGAAGCACTGCCCGACTTCACATGCTCCTTGTGTCCCCAGGATGGCGGTAGACACCCCAGGCAGCCTTCACGACCGAGGGTGAGCAATGTGAAACAGTAAAACCCTGCCCAGGCTGCTGCAGCCAGTGGGTGAGGCTGGAGGGGTGTCCCAGGAAGGACTGGGCATCTGCAACCTTGCCCCAACTGGGCAAGTTAATCTTCCCTTAAAAGGATCAGCAGATAATCCCCCCACATGACTGCAGTGGAGCAAAGCACAAAGGCATCTGCGTAAGGAACATCCAGACACAGAAGGCAATGTGGAGGGAGGGAGAGAGAGTGGGGGCGGCGGGGGGAGTAGGAAGGAGACAGGGGGAGCGGAGGAGGGAGACACAGACAGACAGACTACTTCCATAAGAAATAGCTAGGAGTAAGCATTTTTGCTATAAACGTTGAAAGAAAGCAACAACTGTCATTAAACAGAATGAAGACTCTGTTTTACATCTGAACTTTTTGAAAACTGCAAGTTCATAGCGACTGGTGTTTGTTTGTTTTTAGTTTTGTTTTTGCAATTAGCAGCCAGAGTCCTGGTTCAAGGAAGTTGCTTTCTCAGCCCAGCCCAGCACGGACAGAGACCGGGTAGCAGAAGAGAAATCCAGACGAGACTCCACTGATATCAAGCCACACGGGACTGAGATGTCTCGCCAGCTCCTCGGGAGGCGGCGCTGGCTGTTATAGTCTAGAACCCACCCTACATAATCCACAGCTTGCTAAGTGAAGCATTCTCGGGAGTTATTCTTTTGTGGTCTTACAAACTCAGGGGAACTCTTTCAAATATTGTTAAAGGTAGACATCTTGACCATGCAGACTCCTCCCCGAACTGAACTTTTAATTAACATTCTGCTGCCCAGAATACGCACATCAGGAAACCATGATTCCTTCAGAATATTTAAATTATTAATATTTGAATGAGTATTAATATGTAATTAACGATACATTGTAAAATTATTTTCTTGGTGTGCTGCACAATATAACTGCTATGCCAGAAAACTTTTGGAAGCCTAAAAGGAAAAGGTGTTATATTTCTTTTTGGTAGCAGACATTTCCTACTTCCTACTTTCTGAATTATGTGATATTTCCCCTTTATCAAGAGGCCTTGCCTTTTCAATTGATGCACTCTCCTCCCCTGGCTTTATTCTACACTGTTATTTAATCCCCTTCCTCAGGTACTGGAGAACGCTTAACATACCTCTGGAAGTTACGCTGAATTTTCGGTCAGAGAAACTGCTCCTTCGGATTAAAGGTTCACTCATTTTCTCCAGAAATAATTTAATTGTTTCCTTCTTTTCTGGGCTTGTACTTGACAAATTCAGAACTTTTCCATGCACGTTTACAGTGGAATTGCTGAGCCCCAACCAATAGAAGAAATCAAATAATGCATCCGCTTTGAATTCATACGCAAAGCTCAGATTTTCTCCATTAACCACCTCATTTCCTGGAGGGAAAAAATTCTTTACCGCCTCTTGAAAATCAAACTGAAAGAGAGGGAAGCATTTAATTAATTTCACGGATAGAACTATAATGTTATATTCTAGAATTACATATTATTATAGGATTATATTATAGAATTAACTGCCCAAATATCCAAAGTATCACACCTCTTACTTCTCTTTCACTCTGACAGATATTTTTTTAACTGTTGCCTTTATTTTTCTTAAACAGACCTTTGCATTTGCACCATATACCATCCAAAGGCCTTCAACTGCTTGGTCAAATTCACACTGATTCTTACCCCATTTCTAAGAAGTTGCTAGACACTTCATTTTGTTGGTAGTGATATTGGAGTAATAGAGAACTTAGATGTCTGGGTACAATTAAGTTACAGACAAGCTCCGGGGTTTGGGTCCTTGCATGAAACGCACAGACCCCTTTCCGTGCGGTTGGCAGCTCTGGATTCAGACAGGTGGAAGCTTACCTGAAGCCGGTAGCTTTCTCCAATCACTGAGGAAATGACCATGTCCATCCCTTGCTCTATCTGTCTTCTTATCTTGGGGTGCCTTGTGTTCACAAGAAACGCATACGTCCTTTCTAGAAATTAGGAAGCAGAATTCAAAAAGAAGCGTGCACATGTGACATAACCATGCTTCCTAACATTTGATAAAGCAGCGAGTCCCATCTTATTTGGAGAGTTTATTCACTTATAACTTCCCTAGCCGCTCCCTGACACCCCCACTACAAAGCCTAGCCAGATTTCTAGAAACGTTTCTGAGAATTTTGCAGGTTTGAAAGAAGCTCTGGGATGTTGTAAAAGTAGGTTAGAAAATTGGCTCCCCCAAGGCTGCAGTTTGTCACTCAGTTGCATCTCGGAAACCGAAAGTTCCATTCTATAATTATCACAGAGGAGAACTGAGCCTCCACCGCGGGCACCCAGCATGGAGAGCTAAAGTAAAAAATTGAGATGGCTGGTTTTCATGTCACTGCCTTGCTGGATATTTAACTGCAGCTTGGCTCTCACTAGCATTTCCTTATTTGCAAAGCAGAAAATCAGCAAAGTCCAGGGAAGGAGGCGGCCCCATTCCTTTCCCGTCCCTCCCATCTCTCCCCACCCTCCCCAGGGACCTGGCATTCGTTCTGCCAAAGGGCTAGTTGAGGGTCCCAAGGATCAAGGCGACTCGGATTGGTTCTCCTCCACGCCCTACCCCACACAATCCCCGGTGGGAGGGGAAGTGGCTCCCCTTGTTCCAATAATCCCATGTCTCTGTCCTGGCAGACAGTTGTTTTTGTTGTTATTGTTTGTTTTGGGATTTTTTGGTAATCCCTTAAGTCCAACTCTATATAACCTAAGCAAAGAGAAGGCTGTTTACTCATTAAGAAATTTGAAATATTATTAACCAACAACCTCTTGACTTTTCCAGCCCCCGGAATGAAGCTCCGTGGCCTTAATTACCAAGTACTTCTTCCAGGGAGACACGTAGCATAGATTGCCACCCACTGTTTAAAGGCCATGGACCAGCCATTGTGTGATTCTGAGAGCTGAACATTTTGCATTGGCTTTGAGCGTCAAACCCGTGGTCCACCAATAACAAGCGTTGCATCCTTGAGGAATACATTTTGAACTAACATTTGCACTAACCTTATTCATCTTATTTTTCCTACCCCTGTTTTCCTTTCTCCCAAATGATTTTTTAGGCCCTTTAGATATACACTACTCCATATCCTCTTTGAGATAAGAGATAAATAAGGCAAGCAAGTTATTTGATACCTTGAATTAACTTTCACACAAAGGAAACCAAGACCTTTAGGCTCACTCAGCGCTGCCACACTCCACAGTTGTAACGGTTGGGCAGGTTGTGCACTACACAACTCTAGAGGAAGCCTTTCACATTCACAGACATCGTTTATTTGTATATTTATCATGACAAACTTCTGGGAAGGGTTAGTAAATTGTTTTGAGTTAATGGTGGCTTTTTCCAATTTGCACAAAAGTGCAGTTTAGGATAGCAGCGGGGCTGAACGCATTGCCTTAATCACAATTTTCATAATTTCAACTTGACTATCTTAAGCTCCTGTATCATAGAATCTCTTCATTTCCTGGCTTTCCTCACACTTAACGAGTACTGGGTTTCCACCCCTCCTTCCACAACAGTTGTCACACAACTGTGTACCTTTTGTAGGCCACTTGCAAATACCTCCTTGTACCACTCCCTGCACTTTCATTAAAATGGTAAAATGGAGGGGTCTCTTGTTCTTTCTTAAGATTCCTCCTGAGATGGACGACGCAGGAAGGGTGCTTGGTAATCTGTGAATTACAGTCTTGGAGAACGCTCTGCTTTCTGGCCGTCAACACGCCAGGTAACAGCAGGGCTCAGGCATTCTAACGAGCATCACTCGTTACCCTGCGTTCTGCTCCCGGCTCCTCCTGCCGAGAGAGCATCGTGACTGTGAGTTATGAAGTGAGCAGAGGCTCGGAACGATTCTGAATGAAAGGAGCAGAGAACCGGCTCCACGAATCTGAATGAGAGCGAATGTTTGAGGAAATCTATTTGGCATTTGTAGATCATTTCTTATTACCTTGGACTCATTTCAAGAATATTTAGAAGTAAGTTTAAGAAAGTCTACCTCTATCACAGAACACTCTGCCCAAGACTTTCCCCACATATTACTCGGAGCAGGAGGAAGAAAGGGAAATTGAGGTCTTTTCGCATTGGAATTTGAGCTAACATAGTTGTTATCAGCTAATGGGATTTCTTGGAAGAAACGATAGAGAGATGTGTCTAAAACTGAAATTCAAAGGCCACAGCATGAAATAGAAAAGCACCTACAACTGCTGTTTATTTTCTTTATCTTAGTTTCCTCGTCTATAAAATGAGGATAGTGTAAGTCCATCACAGGTAGGACGACCCTGCCTCCTGGCTTGCTGAGTCAGTCCCAGAGCACACCTTTGTCCCAGCACAACTGTTAACAGCACCTACAGTCATGCTCACAAGGGTTCCCCTTGGGGTGATGAGCCCTACAGGGTCGTTGTGCCAGTTAATGACGTTAGAGCTAGCCTCGAATACGCAAGTGTTTGCTATGTGGTAGATAGTATTATATATCATCATCTGCACGACTCCAGCCATTTTTGCAACACCTGCAGGCTCAGAACGTCCAATCACTTCCTGCCTAGACAGGAAGTAGAAAACAAAGCCCAGAGACAGATGGCTGCTGCCCTGTGCTCATTTAGGGGCTTGTGCTGCAGGCTTGTGCTGTGCTTCAGACGGCTTATACACCAGGCTTCTCCCTCACAGCCTCGCCACAAGCTGGCCTCCACCCTGCTTTCTCCATGCCCCACTTCTGCCTCATCAGCAGGCCACAGTCCACAGCCTGGCAAGGCAGAACCAAACCAAAAATATTTATATACCTACCTTTTGAGGGGTCTTTTTTGGTCTGTACATTAATAAAGAAGAGCATTGGTTTGCTCAATATAGTTTCCCTGTAGTCTTTATAATCACAGTAGTTGGTCAGTTCCACGTATCTATGAAAAAAGCAGAGATAATTGCAAAGTAATGTACCTTCCCATCTAAGTCAGGAAGGGGATGTGCTGGACAGGGCCCTGCTGTGTCCACAGATCCTATGACGGAAGTCTCCTGAAATGTGTCCATACAGAGGCAGCCATATTTTGTACCATGTGCCCCTCCCCTGGTCAGCTGAGAGATGAGCATGTAACCTAAAGGAGGTCATTGTCCTTGGGGTGGCCTGGCACTAATGCCTGGCCCTCAGAGGCAACTTTTACCAGATGATGACTAATACATCTATCTGTTGGGCTGTATGAGTTCATTTGAAGCTATGAGGGCTCTATGTCTCTCCAGGCTGAGAATGAATTCCACTCAATATGTAGAATTAGCTGGGTCTTCTCCAGTGCAGTCATCCCGCCTTACTGGTGGGTCTGAAATTTTCCTTTCCTTCTCTTTCCCTCTTCCTTTCTCAAATCCCAAAATAAACCCAGCCCCCTCCATGGATTACACAATCAATCAATATTCATATGAACTAGTTCTCATCTCTCTGATCCTGAGCTTGTGCAATTAAAAAAACAAAACTAAACTAATGTTGGACTTCTGCCCAGGGCCCTATTAAATTTATCTTCCTGGGTTTTCATTCATGATTCCAGCCTGGGAAGATCTTTTGCATTTGACTCTGTCATCCAGCACATCCACTTTCTCTTCCTACTCTACAAATTTTCCAAGCAGTCCTCTGTCTCTGCTTACACGGTCGATAAAAAGACAGATCCATGAACAAATTAGCTTCCTTCAAGAAGTGGCTAATTTTCTAACCAAACCTAATCTCAGATGCCACATGGCCATGGGCAGGCTGAACGCAATCAGCAGGCTGGTGCTCCTGCCACAGTCCCTCTTTGACACGGACCTGGTTCCCCACCCACGGGCACAGCTGTGAGCATCTGCACGAGTGAACAGGCTGGCCTGGCTGCTAGCACGGCTGCTTGTGCTACACCGCAGAGTGTCTGCTTCTTAGATCTAGTCATGGGCAGAGACAGCTTGAGTGTTTCTTTCTGGCTTGTTGTCCTTCCAGTGCCTGACATGAAAATAACAGCCTTGGAGAGAGCCCCACTGCAGGGAGCTGTGGCCACACAGTCCTCTCAGCCTCCCTCCCTGGAGCCCACTTGCCACAACGTGCTTAGAGGGGCCAGTACACAAGACCACGACCCAGGCATGGGTCAAGAGCATGTGGGAGAGTATCTACCCTGGAGTCACAAAAACACAGCTTCTGCTCTCTTTCTCCCACCTTGGTTTCTTAGAAATCTGTGTCATTATCTTTTTTCTGGGATTGTCAGACCTGATTTTGAGAGCTTTTAAAACCTGACCCCTGATGGAGCCTCTAAATGCTTCCTGCCTTCCATTTCCCCAGGCTTTTAATGTGGTCTCCACCTCCCAACCTGGGCACTGGGGGTGGCTAGCAGGCTGGTCCAGGGGTGGGAGGGAGGACACAGGGCTGGCACTTTCCAGAGATGGAAAGGGATGCAGGTGATGTTCAGGGGTGTGGCTGAGGAGGACAGCAGCAAGGAGAGGAGGCTGGAATGGAGAAGGGGTGCAGGACCTGGGGGATGGGCTGGGTAAGCTACTGCAGACGGGGTTTGTATGGTCCTCCTTCATCTCCTCCCCCACCCCTGCCTTCCCCCTCACCTGGGCACAACCATGTGGAGTGAGAATGGGGTGAGGTGGGGCAACTGAGGGGGAGTGGCACTGTGTTCCCGATCAGCAATTGTCCCAATTGACCAACGGCCAAAAACTACTGGAGAAAGGAAGCAGTGAAGGAAGGAGAAGGACCCACCATTTGCTGGGTTCATTCGATCTCATTCATTCATTCAACAATGTTCCTTAAGCGCCAATTATATGCCGGGCACCAGGTGGGCATCCACATGTGCCTTCTCACATCTGAGGATCTCAGCACCTAGGGGGTGGGGGTTAGTAGAAGGGTGGCGGTGCTGGGCTTCCCCTGTGCTCTCCCACTCACTCTGCCATCCATCTCTTCAGCAGCCAAGGACCTGGTGCAGGCAGGCAAGAGTGGCAGGGGTGGGGATGAGTTCTGTGGTTGCAGGGGTGCAGGAGAGATGCAGAGGGAGGAAGTGGGAAGAAAGTTCTTGTAGCAAAAGAAGTCTGATGGGGGGAAACATCAAAAAGATAGACGTGTGCTGCCGGTGGGCGTCAGGTACCCTGATCCATCCAGGGCAGATCTTTACATTCTCCCACTTGTTTATCACGGAGTTAATTTAGAGCCATTTAAGCGTTTAATATTTTCCTCAAGGCGATTCCTCAGCTCTCTCAATATCCACAGTCTGACTGTCATTCTCCAGGGCGTGCAAATGGCGTTTGGGTCCAGTGCATCCAGAAAATCTCTAGTTTTGATTACTAGTCTGATGACACAAATGACAGTGCAGAACTTGACTCTGTCTACAAAATCAACTGACATATGATTGGAGGTATCATCAGTAAGAAAAAGACAAAAATCTCAACTCAGAAATGAGTTGGGAAAATAACCCGTTTTCCCCAGAATCCTGTGGAAGACTTTTGTGAACAGGATTGAGCTGAAGTAGCTGTGACTTGGCGTGATCAGAGAAGGGGGACTGGGTGGGGCGGGGGCTTCTGGATAGGCCCATATTGAGTTTAATGCATAACCTATTCATGAGTCACCCCTTTAGAGTGTGAATTTAAGAAGATGCCCTGAATAATAAGACTGTGCTCAACATAATTTAACCTTCCTTTGAGGACTTAGAGGCACTTTCAGCATCTTAACAGGGCTGTAAACACCATCACAGAGCATGTCAGCTATCACTGTGCCGCAGATGTATGAAAGTGTTGCTTATATGAGGGTTCTGATAACAGCATTTACAGACAAGGGACTGTGGCGAGATCCCTACTTAATAAACTCTCTTTTTAAACCAGGTCACAAACAAGCAATACCTCCATAATTCATCCATTCCCAGCCTCCCAGTAATGGTCCAAGGGTTAAACACCTCAAAATTCCAGTGAAATAAATAAATGTGAGCATTCCTCTGGACTTCACTGTTGTAAAATTTGGATATGTAAGTCACTAAAATACAAAAAGATTTAGGACCTAGTTGTTAAATCTCACAGATTGACCCTAAGCTAACATCTGTGCCAATCTTCCTCTATTTTGTATGTGAGCCGCTGCCACAGCATGGCTGCTGACAAGAGGAGTAGGTCCACACCTGGGGACGGAACCTGGGCTGCCAAAGTGGAGCACGCTGAACTTAAGCACTAGGCCACAAGGCCAGCCCCCTAGTTATTTCATCTTTAAATGTGCCTATTTCTGAATTACTAATGCAAATAGTGCTTCTGTGTACTGGATATTTATTATATTTGCTGAAGTTATCGTTAGGGATGAAAAGCAAGCAGTTAAAGATACTTCCTTTAAAGTCCCACTTCTTCAATGCTTTCACCCTGGCCCCAAAATGCTTCTAGGCTGAAACTTTCTATGCCTGGCTTCAATCCAAAGATTGAAAGGCAGAACCATGTGGTGGAAAGTATAGTGAGTCAAAATAAGAAGATCTAATTCGTGTCCTAACTGACCAGCTGTGGGAACTCAGTCCCAGAGCCACAACTCACTATGACCTTGAGTGAGTGACTTAACCCGTCTGACCTCTGCCCTCATCTGTAAAAGGGATAACAGCATTGCCTTTATTTGTTGACTGAATGCAGCACAAGTAACATAGACATAAGTACCTGGACCCACAGTAGGTGCTCAACAAATGTTACTAGCGTCTTTAATCCTGGCCAACTTTGCTGACCATAGGGTGACGTTTTGTAAACTTGTGACGCACAACCAGGGCTGTGTTCATCTGAGTTAACAGGTAACGAGGACAACAGGAATATCTGAAAAATAAAGGAGCAAGAGTTTCTCCTTCCTTGCTTCGATTTCTTTCCTCATCTTTTCCGTTTGGAAGACTAAAGGGAACAGCTTAACAAGTGCAATATCTGAAAGATGAGACCAAGAAAGAACTCCGTATTTTTGCTTCTAGCAAATCAGGAGTGGCTGAAAGATTGCCCACCATCTAAAATACCCAACTTTCTCCAGAGCTTCCTTCAGATTTCACATCATCTCTAGCATGATCTGAAAAGCTGCTCCAAATTTCCCTGGGCTCTGACAATCTAATGATCAACGACAAATAAGAATTCAAACCCATGGCTTCCATCTGAGGGGGTGTGCATGGGTGTGTTCGCTTGACGAAATATAGAGTGGAGCAGAGAAAAGAGGAGCCCATACTGCAATAGTCCTCGTGTAGAAGGCCAGAAATCGCTCACAGCTTCCAGAATGCTTTGCTGGGACACTGAGCAGGGACCTTCTGCCCTTGGGAGCAAGCAGGATGGCCCTGCTGTGTTTCCACTGTGAACTTGGTAGCATTATGCAGAGCATCACCCTAAGCTCTCAGACACTTCCTTCTCTTTCACTTCCTTCCCTCCTTCTTCTGGTGAAATCAATCAAAATTTTCAGATTTATCACTCTAATGTCTGTGACTTGAATCAAGGATACACATGTTCAGTCATTTATTCATTTGTCAATTACTGATGCTCAGTGCGTGTGAAACACTGTGATGGGACAAAGAATGATTCACTCACGTATTCGCTCATGCAATAAACATCTGCTAATTACCTGCCACGTGCTGGGCTCTGGGGACACAAAGATGAGAAAGAAAACAGTCTTGCTTTCAATAAGCATATAGTCTATTGGGAGACAGATAAGAAAATGCACCATTTCAGTAGGAAATCACAGATGTCTAAGACCTTGTTGCCTAAAGTGTGATCACTGGGCCAACAGCACTGGCACCACCTGGGAGCTTGTGAAACTGCAGTATCCGGGCCCCTCCCCAGTTTTATTCCATCTAAAACCTGCATTTTATCAAGCTCCTCAGGACACTTGTGAGCTTATTTAAAGGTTGAGAAGCGGGGGATTCTTCCAAGATGGCGCCGTGAGTAGTCCTCTTTGTCTCTCGCCCTTCGA